CAAGTATTTGGCATTGAAGTACCACTTCTTCAGGTCCAATATCGGGGAGTCGAAGGGCATCGTGGCCAAGTATATTCCGACTCTGGAACAACGGGCCGACATTTTCACTAAGGGTCTTCCGGTTCCACAGTTTGCTGTCATTCGGAAGCTCCTCATGGGATGGTAATTTACCTCAGCACTTTGCTGGGGACTCTCTCCTATCGTTTCTTGCTCCAGCTTCGTTTCAGCTGTCAGGGAGTGCGACGGGATACAGCTTACAATTCAGCTTTACAGCTTTACAATTAGCAGGCTTATTCTAGAAAATAATCAATAACTGCTCACTTATTTGGAAATACAAACTTTACATCTCTTAGATCGTTAGATTAGACAATCCACAATGGTATTGTCGCAGCGGTCATTGAGAACCCTGTCTCAAATGACTATTCACGAGAGACTCAGTCATGAGTCGAACTCAAACCCTATCTAGGATCGAGTCGCGAATAAGGCTAAGAGCCGTGTATTGCAAGAAGATACCTTTTATGAGAACTTCCGCAGAAGCACACCCCAGATCCCCAAGGAGGTCTCTGTAGTTACTCCAGGTTTTGTCACCCCTAGCTAGCCAGTCTCCACTAGCCTGAACTACAAAATAACCCTATCCTTAAAGGGAGCCGAGGTGAGATTTTCCATTATTTCGTCTCCATGAGACGACGCTCCTTTTGGTTACCCCCTCAGTTGCACTCTGAAATCGATTCGCCCGGGTTTACTGTGTAAAAAAGAGTAGACGCACTTCAGTTGCAGAATCAACGGTCATGTGTATCGTTAAGTAACAAGTTCCCTTTCGAAAGATTTAGATCGATTTCGTGGATAAAAGAACTGTTGAAGTTACTAAGGTTAAAGATAAACTGATTGAGTACCTCAGTCAAGCGAAAGTCCATTATTGAAGGCGCAGCACTGACTTCTCTCCCTCATTGAATTCGTATGGTAAACAGGAGGTAAATCCAAGCTTGGCCGACAACAATGCATGGTGAGTGAATGGTTCAAGTCCATCATTAAAGGCGCAGCACTGACATCTCTCCCTCGTTGTATTCCTATGGTAAACAGGAGAGAAATCCAAGCTTGGCCGACAACAATGGAGAGTGCTTTATCCAATCGGCCCATCAATCGAATCGATCGCAATGAGGTAAGCCTATTGTCAAGAGTGTTAATTGAAGGTACAGCGCTGACTTCTCTCCCTCATTGGATTTCTATGGTATTCAGGAGAGAATTCCAAGCTCGGCCGTCAACAGGTGAGTTGTTTTAATTATTCGAATCGAATCGGTCGCACCTCTATTATTATCTCTGTTATCCAAGCCTCACTCAAGCCAGCTGTCTCCGGTGCAGATTCGAAAGCCATCCCTCATTGAATCATATGGACCATGGTATGGCAGTCAGTTATCGGCCCATGACAGCCAAGTTGGAGAACAAGGGTAAGTCGCCGGTTTTCTTCAGTTGAGCATAGAAAACAAAACTCATATCTATTTGTTGTTTTCTCTGCTGCACTGTTGATGGCCGATGAACTACCATTGTCGAGTTCTTTTCGAACGAACGGCTGCTGCGGAGAACAAGAGGAAGAGGCTGCCGTTACGGAAGAGCTTCTGTTAACTCAAGCCTTATCAGCAGCCTGAACGGAGGAGATCGTCGTCGAGTCATTGAAAGGCAACAGCCACCGGAAGAGACAACAACACACACACAAGAGAGTGGATCCTCCTACCTATTTCCTACTGTTTTCGTGGTGATTCCTGTGTCGGTACCCATTTTCCTGTATGCGCAAGTCAAGTACTGTTGCCACTAGCTATACGGCAGCTGGCTACAATGGCTGGATTGACAATATTCGGTTGTGCATGTATTCATCATAAGGATCCAATGCAAGGTAACCGAGTGCAGCGAGCAAAGCCGAACCTGAGTGTGTTCGGTACTGTTGCCACTGTCACCGATCGATGAACTCTACGATAGCTGGCTACGATGGCTGGATTGACAATGTCCGGCTGTGCATGTGTTCGTCATAAGGATCCAATGCAAGGTACCGGTAACAGAGTGTAGCCAGTAAAGTGGAACCTGAGTGTTTTCGGTACTGTTGCCACTGTCACCGATTGATGTAACTCTACGGTAACTGGCTGCAATAGCTGGATTGACAATATTCGGTTGTGCATGTATTCGTCATAAGGATCCAATTCGAGGTACCGGTAACCGTAGCGAGCAAAGCCGAACTTTCGATACTGTTGCCATTGCCGTCGATGTAGCTATACCGCAGCCGGCTACAATGGCTGGATTCATAATGTTCGGTTGTGCATGTATTCGTCATAAGGATCCAATGCAAAATATCAGCAACGGAGTGTAGCCAGCACAGCGGAACCTGAGTGTGTTCGGTACTGTTAACACTGTTGCCGATGTAACTGTACGGTAGCCTGCTACAATGGCTGGATTAACAATATTCGGTTTTGTGCATGTATTCGTCATACGGATCCAATGCGAGGTAACCGAGTGCAGCGAGCAAAGCCGAACCTGAGTGTGTTCGGTACTGTTGCCACTGTCACTGATCGATGAACTCTACGATAGCTTGCTACGATGGCTGGATTGACAATATTCGGTTGTGCATGTATTCGTCGTAAGGATCCAATGCAAAGTACTGGTAACAAAGTGTAGCGAGCAAAGCCGAACCTGAGTGTGTTCGGTACTGCTGCCACTGTCGCTGATGTAACTATGGTAGCCGGCTGCAATGGCTGGATTGACTGGTACCAGATACCGTATTCGTCATAAGGATCCAAACTGAGGCAAAGGGATACAGGAGACGAGCGCTGAAAAAAACCGAATTACCTTCACACAGGTCCGTCCGTCCATTTCATTAGGGATCGGGTTAGGGTTGACCCCTCTCTTTTGATTTTAACCCTAACAGCCACCGCGGTGAGTGAGCGTCCTCATTAGTGTCTCCCTCAGTCTTTCCCCCTAACTTTCCGGGGTTTTCAAACCCCCCAATTTCATCCTTCCAACCAACCCACCTTTTTTGTTTACAATCGATGTATGTTATCGCTATGTGAATGAATCATTGTGTATGAATCGTCGTTGTGTATGAATCAAATCGTTGTGTATGGCCTTAATGCACTGCAGGTCTTAATACCCAGATCACTCTAGTCTAGTAGCTGTAGATAAAAATAAAAAGGTATTGACGGTCTCCCGCCTCCCGCAAGCATAAAAATTCAGGCTGCCGTAGGCATGAGCCCTCAACGAGTTTGAAATGGATTGGCAGACTGCTAGTGCGGTTAGTAGCCTGCCTGTCTTGGCTAGCTTGGGGTAGCCAGCCATCTGTTCCTCTTTTGGTGGATATCTATATTAGGGTTAGGTCTAAAAAGGCTAACAGATGTACACACAAACTTGACAGACGTACACACTAACTAGCAAACAGACGTACCACTAACTTGCAAACAGACGTACACACTAACTTCTCTGTAGAAACTCTACAGGACCGTCCGACGCTTTTCACTCAGGATTTAAAAATCTTCAAATTGCCACGACTGACAACATCTTTTAAACAACCCCTTAAACAACCCCTTAAACAACCCCTTAAAGCTTTGACATCCCCTTAAACAACCCCTTAAATAAACAACCCCTTAACAACATCCCCCTATATCCTCGAAACAACCCTCTAAGCCTTCATTGAAACGCCATACAACAACCCCTTATCACGAATGAACATCCCCTTAAATAAACAACCCCTTAACAACAACCCCTTAAATATTCAACATCCCCTTAAACAACCCCTTAAAGCTTCAACATCCCCTTAAACAACCCCTTATGAGAACCAGGATCTTGAGTCAGTCGTGCCCGTTTTTAAAGCCTGAGTGAAAAGCGTTGGACGGTCCTGAGGGCTACATCTGTTACACAGTAATTGGCATGCAAATAAAATTCACAAGGGCCCTAACCAAGTTGAGGGCTATGCTACTCCGCGGCACAAATGAGGATTTCCTCATTTAATGCACGGTGTTAAGAAAACAGGCAACCTCACATCACCTAGTAAAGTGAAGATCAGTCATCCTTCACACCTTGACATTAAGACACATTGAAACATTTATACCCTTACATTTAGAAATATTTGGGGCAAAATTGACCCCTTCTAGTAAACACCCAATATGACACTATCAACTACACTATCTCAACAAAGTAAGACAATGACATTCAAAACAACATTATTGCTGACAAATACCATTCAACAGCTAGGTCAATTGGTTGGATATTGACTGAGATCTGGTAACCAGAAGTTGGTGGCTTTTGGACCACAAAGTCATCCTCCAGTCATGCTCCTAGGGACGTTAAGTAGGATTTTCAAATGTGTTTCCCAAGCGCTCCGGAGGTTTTCCCCATTTTTGCTGCTTTCCTCATTTTGGCTGGGGAGTAGTATGGGTATGGACGGTCTCCCGCCTCCCGCAAGTGCACAAGCATGGCGAGCCGCCCTTTGTGTTGAAGCTGATTTGGCGTTCGCTTTGTGAATGCCCCAAGTTCTCATTCTCGTCACAAAGAAGCCCAAAGCGACGGAGCAACTGTCTCGTAGCCGCCACAATTCAAGCAACCCACCATCAATCATCAAAACTCAAACCCAACCTGATACCTGATTCCCCCCTCAACCCTCTGCATAGAACTGCAACAAAAAGGCACCATGAGCGAGCACCTTGAAATGGAATACGAAACTATTCAAAATGTTATCGATAGTTGGGAGCTATTGAGAAGGTACTGTTGGAAGATATTGTCATTTATGGGAGGGAACAATTCGCCATCTGTCATTGCTAATCTATCTCTCGCTTGTCCTCTTTTTGGAGCAGAATCCCCAACTACGATGTCGAGGCAGGTACACTACTCTTCACGCAGTACGTAATCGAAGTTCATGACAGCATATTGCGCGTCCCGTGCAAGTTCTCTTACCAGCATTGGTTTCTTCCCACGAATGCCACAGTCTCTTTGAGAAATGCCCGCCTGCAATGGTTCTGTTTGGTTTCCCGAAAGATATGGATCCTACCTGTGAAAAGCTGAAGAAGAGCAAGCGGTTTGTTTCGCACGCCAAGTGAGTTGGTGGAATGTACCAGTCTCTCTGCCTCCCGCCGTGTACCGTTCTCTCAATGACGCCTCCTTCATTCGAACCTTTTCTCAGGAACATGGTTGCCATGTTAGACCGGGCCCTAGCAAGTAAGTATCAGTTGGCAGATAATTCAGTGCCTTCAACCTTGAGAATCGAATCTTCTTTAGCTTACCAATGTGTTGGAATCTTTGCTGCTTTCAGTGCTTGGGCCAGACGCGGAACTGCTGGAGGAGATGCTTCTGGATTGTAAGTTGTGACATTGTTGCATGCTTTAGAAGTCCCAGTTGAAGGTGGTGTACTCACTCACTTCTGGTCTTTTACCTCGACATACCACAGTGGGAAAGAAGCACGTTACTATTGGAGTTCCTGTAAACGCATACCCCATTATGGGTGACGCGTTGTTGCAGACGCTTCGGGAGTTGCTGGGCGACAAATTCAACCAACAAGCTGAACACTCCTGGCTTGAGGTGTACCGTGCGTTTTCCTTTGAAATGATCTCGGTGATGCGCAAAACTGTATGAGAAGGTTCGCTCACGCACACGCACAGCGCACCCCCAGCAACAACAACCCCTATAGACATACACATGCATGGCAATCACATTCCGTAAATCTACGGTACATCTGAGTACATTCTAACCTGGGTCCATTCAAAAGCTTGAAAACAGTGTAGAAAAAACAGTATTCCCTAGCTATAAGAGCAACCAGGAGTTTGCCGTTTCAGAAAGCCAGGCTTAGTCGCTGATTGAATTCTTCACTGATTGTGCTTCCCCTTTTGTTTGTCTGCTACTACTGAGTCTTGTGGCACCATTCAAGCGATTTGGAAGCACGAGCAGCTTGAAATTTGTGGCATGAGGGGGCGAGAATGGGCGCAAAGGTTTCTAGTTGGCCACGGTACCGGTAGTGGCAAGGTTTGGAGATGTAGTACTGGAGTAATCAATATTGTTAATAAGGTCTGTCATGATGTTGCCTCTTCTGTGGCTTCTTTTCCTTCTGCCTCTTCCTCCTTGGCAGTCTCCTCGGCGATTGTTGCAATTTGTTCCTCAGTCAATTCTGTGGCAGGTGGGGTAGCTACGTCATGATTGAAATGCGTAGAATGCAATTCCGCTTCCACTCCCGCCTGCAGAAATTCTCGAATAACCTCAATATGCCCATTCTTCATGGCAACGTATATTGGTGAGTATTCCTGGTAGGTGCCATCGGAGTCCTTCCACTTGCCAAAGTCATATCCATCGGCAATCAATTCTTGGACCTTCTTGACATCGCCTTCCCGACTGGCTTTTATCATAATATCATCAACATCCTCCATACCAACATAGAAATCAATCTTTCCTCGCAATAGGGTGGCAATGTCTCCGTGTCCATGTTCCTTGGCCAGGTCGAGGGCGTCCTGGTCCACCACTGCTCCATGCTCCAACAGCAATTGCACCATTTCCATGTTCCCATTGAAACTAGCCAACTGCAACGGTGAATAATCGTTCGAGTCCTTTATATTAATGTCAGCAGATTCCACTTCCAACAACAGCTTGACAGCATCCATGTGACCATAGTCCACCGCGACGAAAATCGCCGGAGTGTCCATTTCGTTGTCGTCCTTGTCCAGCCATTGCAGGCTTTTCTTCCATTCAAAGTCGTCAGATTGCATCAATTCTTTCAGGGTGCTTACATTGCCCTCTTTGCAGGCCGCTATCAGCTTGGCGTCGCTGGCAGATGCCATGGTTCGAACTCTTTTTGCTTTCAACTACTAGTAACTCTTTGTGAAGAAATTGGTCGAATGTGTGGCTGCCACCGGCGCCAAACGAAGACGCCTCGGAATAACAACGAACCCAATCGAATGTGAGTCGTGCAAAGTGCTCTGCAACAGTACCGGTAGAAGCAATCTAAGCTGTGAGAAACACCGAGGTAAAGTTCCGGTAGCAGTCTGGCCAGGAGCTACTAGCAAGACCAAAAATGGAAGCGGTAGACGTCGAACAGCTGTCTAGCTAGCCAGGGATGGCAACCAGGCTTCCTGCTGATGGCTAGCTCCTATTTCCTCCACCTGCGGTTGCATTGAAGGCATCTTCTGAAATTCTAAAGCAATCACCTGTTGAGAGGACAAGTCGACGACGAGCTTTGTCTACCCGTCAGGAACCGAGCGGCCCAAAAGAAATAAGTGAAAATTACTAGTAGCGGCCAAGACCCAACAAGCCCAATGGAAAGTTTGTGGTTGTCCTGGTGGAATCTGATCTTTAAAAACTTCTTCAGGGGAGGTAGCAATCTTTTTTGTAGACAATTTGGTAGATGGCTGCCGTCCAGCAAGACTTAGTAGAAACGAACATAGCACCATCATCCATAGTACTAGCTAGCTATGGTACGGTAGCTAGGTAGCTAGTAGGCTTTGGACCGGCCGTCGAAAACCAAACAGAAGTCTGACCGTCGCTCCTGTTCCCTCGAGAGCGACAACAACACAACAACAGCAACAACACGACAACACAACACGACAAGATAGACAACCTCCACTGCTACTTCTGAAATCACCATGGAAACGCCACATCAACAGCAGCAATCTAGTATTCAGGATCAAAAGAACACGTTTGCAGCATCGGAGAACATTGAGCCATGCACGAACACAAAGTGCATGTTTGTGGGATGCACTTGTGGTAGACGCTGCGGATGCAACAGAGGTTGTGCCAATCCAAATTGCACCTGTGGCTCCTGTACGTGTGGTGCTTCTTGTGACTGCAACGGCGGCAACACTGTTCCCGAAAAGGCCATGGACCAATCCTGTGATCCTTGCAAAGACTTCAAAGCCAAAAAGAAGGCGGCAGCATCGCCACAACAAGAAGAAACATAATGAAAGGTTGGAGCAATCGACGAACATTCAATGGCAGCTTATTACAAGAGCGAAAACCTTAATGTTGCGTCCTATGGCATTTTACAGCCGAACGAACAAGAATGTCAGGCAGTTGCTAAAGTAGACAAAAAGAAGCAGGAGGCACGAACGAACAAGTAATTTCGCAAGGGGCGCCAAGGAGCGTGCCGTACAGAATAATGAATATGACTCCTGAAAACGAAACTTTAAACAAGTAAAGTGCTGCTGTTGCTACATTACATCGTTGCCTTGTTGACAGCTGCCGTATGAGAATGCCTCCCGTACAAGACAATCAGTGCTTCTCGTGAACGGATAGAACCGAGAAGCCGAGCAGAGAAAAACACCTGTGCTGACGAGCTTGCCGAGTGCCGATGGCTGAAGCCTTAAAGGCTTCCTCTCGTTTCTGGCAGAATGCATAGATTGAGCAGAATACTCAAAGAAGGAGGAATACAAATATGCATACTGAGTACCGTAAAAGATAGCTATCTGTTTCCGTGAAGGTAGTGCGAGATTGGATCGAAGGATCAGAATGAATCAGATCATGTGCCGTACTACGCGTGAAAGTAGAACCTTCCAGACTCAAGGATGTCTTGTCTGGTTAGAACGGCAAGAAGGAGGCAAGATGGCAAGATTGCGGTGCCGCTGAGGTGTTGACAATTGGAGATTCAACCTTTTATTCCCACGGCGCACGCTGATCGCGGCAAATAATTATGTCTTCTGATTATCTTAAGATTAATTTTTAGAGCTGGATTTAGAAACAAATCTTGGCAGCTTTCCTGCCACGTGCTCAAAGTAAAAACTACAAAACTACCTTCCGGTCATTTTGAAAACACAATCGAGATACCTTTAAATCTCAAATTAACCAGTTTCTCTCACTCCATTCATACCGGTAGGTACCGGTACCAGCATGGCCAACTCAACTCAGCTAGATCTAGTAGCTCTAGATCCGTTCAGGCATCCTGTCCGCGCCCACAAGGAGATGATTCAATCGAGTCGAGTCGAGTCGAGTCCAAGCAATAGTGTTACCGGGAGTTGAAAAGGATGCTGATGGATGCTTCTGTACATCAGGTTCTAGCTAGCTACAGCTCGCTCGTAGCACCAGGCCTCCGCCTGGTCTTCTTACTACCGTACTGTTTGCAACGTCGCCTTTTCGCTACTACGCTGGAAATGCCTACTCAATACCACATTGGATATCGACCAGAGATCTGAGATCTACTAGTAGAGAGAGTTTATTTAGTTGATACTGGAGTACTGGCCAGCTACCGAAACAACGAAACTTGCTAGAGATGCCAGGCCACGTGAGCTCTTTGAGATGCTGGATTCGATTCGATTCTAAAGACAGGGCCTGGGAAGCTGGGAAGCTGGGAAGAGGAGCAGGACCGGGAATTCGGGGGACTGGCTCCGGTTACCAGTACCGTGAGAGGCCCAACGGTCAATTGCCGTCTTGAGCTGGATCTTCTCGGTTCCTCAACTGTAACTTTTCAGTACAGCACCTTACTATTTCTTTTATAGCAACTCATTGATGACTCTATATCTATGACTATGACATTCCCTTAATCATCTGCTGAAAGAACTTACAGTTGATTGAATTTGTAAAGATGGGGTAATTAGTTTCGATTGATTTCCAGAAAGGAAGTCAATTCCTACTGGTCCCAACACCAGCAAGATATCGGATGTGATAGTAGGAGTGACAGCCCTCTACAGTTTCAGTGGGTGGTCCTTGATTTTTTCTGATGCATCTGCACTCTAGCTAGAAAATGAGGATGAAGTGAATTGAATTGTGGCAAGCAAATAAAACTGAACCGGTGCAATGAGCAGATGGCTCACTCTGGAGACAAGAGATTAGAATACCGAGATCTACGCTATACCAGTACATGTAGATATCAACAAAGAACACACAGTAGCCAGCCATACCAATGTCCCTGATTAGCCGGAGCTGCTCCATCCATCATCGAAAGTCTTCACAGCAATCTTTTGAATGGGTGTAAGTCTGCTACGGTACAGATATTGGTGCGCGGATACACTATTAAAGCTACTACCAGGTAGGGAAGGGGGCTGGGGGCTTCTTAGGTACCGTACCGTTACGCTTGACATGGATCCAGCCAGGGCTCTTTCCCGCCCACCCGTAGCGGTACGGTACCAAACCTCAAGTTTAATACACACTACCGCTATTGGCTCTAGCTAGCTAGGTCAGAAAACTGAGGAGAACGTTACTAATCTCTCCATCTCCCTTGCTTATTCACCGGTCATCAGGTGAAGCCAAAAGAATACTTTTACGGTCATCGGGAAATAAAAGTGGTTTGCCCTCCCACGAATCAAGATCAAATGATATTTAAGGATCCATTTCCCAACCATCTTGCTTTCAAGTACAGCTTCTTACGCAACTTCCACTCGACCGCTCGATCTGGCCGATGGTGTTCATGCTTCATGCCATGTGTTTGGATGACCTTGTCTGGCTTCATGCTCGCTTTCGCTCATACCAGCACCCAAGCGAACACAGCAACAACACAAAACCACCTCTGTCTTTGATCACATACCCAAGCTAGCTAGCTATCTAGATAAAGAGACTTTAGCACCATGCCGATGCATCCCGATTATACCAAAGACCACACGGTCATGCTGAACTGTACCAACGCAGCGCCGTTGGTGAGTCCACTAGACGATTACAACGAGAAGGACTTGCCGTTGACCTGGAAGACCAAGACCATCAAGAAGCTCGATCCAAACACATATGTCTTTTACTGCACAGCGCGGTTAACCACCGCTCGAATCAACAAGAACATGGTTGTCATTGAACACAAGGGAGAGCTGTCGCTGATCAATCCACTCAAGCTCACAGGCGAAGGACAACGGAAACTGGGCAACCTCGGGGCCATCCGGCACATTGTACGACTGGGCGCCACTCTGCACGGTCATTACGAAGACGAATACTACCTGAATACGATCCCAGGAGTGCAACGATGGGCTCCAGGTCCGTTTTCCGATCCCAGAAGCCACAACCTACCCATTCATCACACACTCAAGGAACGGAATTCTGCTCCGTTTCCCCAAGCAAGGGTCTTTTGCTTCAAGTATACGAAAGACCCAGAAGCTGTCATTATGCTAGAACGAGAAAACCACGGGAACGTGCTCCTCACAGGTGAATGCTTACAGAGTCAGAAAGACAATGAATTTGTCAACATGCCCGTCGTTGCCAAGATGAAGCTCAACGGATTGCTGCGCTCGGACATTGTGGTGAGTCCGCCATGGATCAAGGAAATGGCACCACCCAAGACGGCCGGAATTGGAGAGCAAAAGGCATACAAGCGTGATCTGAGAACGGATTTCCAACGACTGCTGGGGCTCAAGTTCAACAGACTGCTGAGCACCAGTGGCAATGTTGTCAAGTACGGAGCCAAAGAAGGGGCTGTCTTGGCCGTGGAATACGCATTTCCGCTATGGGGATCCTCACAACATGTCCAATAAATAAATAAATTATTGGGGTGACCACCACCAAGACAGCCAAACATAGTTTTGCTGCCGACCTTGGAGGAAGGCGCAAGACTTGCTTGTTGGAGGCCAATGACTTTGACAAAACAAACTCAGGGCTACATGTTTGGAAACCGCAGTATAAAGTAGACTTCACATATATTATTTATATCACATTTTCACATCGAGCCTTAGCTTGGCTTTTTCAGGGTCTGGTAGGTGCCGTCAATACAGGAACCCGTCTCTCTCGTAGGGCACTGCCATTTGACTGACGCTACAGGTAACTGCCTTGCCACTGCATCAACCACCTTGAAGCCGCAGGTCAGGGCCGAAGACGGGTACTGGTACTCGGAACGAGTCAGTGCGGGCCAGCTAGCTTGCCAGCGTTAATCGACGCTCAATATTTTCAATGCCGGCACTGGCTGGACTATCCAGTATCATGAAGGCCTCTGGTTCTGGTACTAACTACGTAGCTGGGGCAAAGGGAAGTGGTTGCGAGTCGCTGCTCGAAACTGGAAGCTTCCGTTGGAGACTGATAACGAACAATGCCAGAGCACTCGTTGGTCACCTCCTGTCTGCTATTCCAATGTGGCGCATCGGGGTCTTAAAAGAGCAACTAAGATAGATATTTGCGAACCTCGCTTTCCAACCATGTTATGGCTAGCTAGTACCTCCCACCAACATTCGATGGCCGCACTAGCTACTAGCTAGCCTTTCTTGCCGCACAGAACTCTAGGAAGAGTCCACAAAGATGGACATGCTCCAGTCAGGATGTCAAGAAAGACAGCCGCCTCGACAGCTGCTGTTGGTTCAGAAGTCACCACGCCGTTACGACGACAAGTCCACAAGACGACTTTGGTCTGTGCCAATTCATTGACGCTACGTTAGCTACCGGTAGCAAGCAGAAGAAGAAGGAACAACGGAAACCAACGTGGATTACTAGAATACCTACTACCAGTACCAGCTCTGGGCTGCCCCCCACTGCTGCTGCGGTTTTGGAGATTGGAGGCTCGCCACATAGCATCCTTCATGATAAATGAAAATCTCTTCTACATCTCGGGTCGTCACCTTTCTGCGTAACCGTTGTCCTAGCCATCCATATCGTTCAAGGTTGAAGAGACATTTTTGTTTCAGTTGCTGCGAGAGCCTTAGGTTGACTGCTGTCCCTCTAGAGCTGGGCCAGACCGTTCAGCCAGAGCAAGTGCCCTTTTACAAACGTCCGGGCGTTGTCAACAAAGCTGACCGTTTGACATCGACTGGCAAGGACAGTGAATGAAGAGCCCAACACCACAATCTCCACTTCATCCAAGCTGTAGCACAACCTCACGATCAAAATTTGGTATGATGTATCACAACAACGTGCGGCTGGCCAACTTGTGGATTGATGAGACGCATGAAGGCGCAAATTCACTGCTTTCTTCGTTCCTCTTCTGATGCCTCGTGCTGTGAAGGCTCATTCTGAGCGTGCATCCTGTAACTGGGAACAGCTAGCTCGTCTCTTGTGCCGATAACACTCTCACATTCCTCGAGTGGACCGCTCCCACAGAGGGAATGCGTATTCCACAGCTAGCACAGCACCTTTTTTGGCACCGTACTTGACCACATTGCCACTGGTACTCAACATGCGCTGAAAGTTCATCCCCAATAACCTCATAAAGTCTCCCCGAATTGCTTTTTGGGATCCCGACAAGGAACTCATTCGTCGCATACGGGGTCGATTGGTCCGGGAGTCTTTGTAATTCCCGCCATATTTTGTTTTCGCAACAGCCGTTGCGGTTGGCATCATGACTTTGAGCCACTGTTGACTCACCACAATATCGCTTTCCAACAATCCCGCCAATTTGAATTTGGCCACAACAGGCATGTTGACAAATTCGTTATCTAGCTGATGCTGCAAACATTCACCAGTAACTAATAAATTCCCATGTTTGCCGTCTCGGTAGAGCAACAAAGCAGCTTCTGGATGTGCAGTTTCTTTAAAGATAAAAACTTTGCAGAGCGGAAAGGGCGTTTGTCCTGATTCTGTCATTTTGAAATCCACGGGTAGATCGAGGGAATTGAGAAATTCTCCTGGAGCCCATCGTTGACAGTTGGGAAAATTGTTCAAATAGTAGGAGTCCTCCTCGGCGGCATGCATGGTAGGTCCCAGCCGAATGATGCGTGTCACGGTACCCAATTTTCGTAGTTTGCGTTCCCCTTCTTCGGTGATGCGAAGAGGATCAATCAAGGAGAGCTCTCCACCTTCTGTATCGCTGGCCACTACCAACATGTTGCGATTGCATCGTCCTCCCGCATCGTTCCGAGTAGTGCAGTGGAACACGTAGGTGTTGGGATCCAGTCTCTTGATGGACTTGGTCTTGTACAAGAGCGGAAGTTCTTGCTGGGCAAAGTCAGCGGGCTGCATCGTTTGTTCGTCTTGCTAGCTAGATGGCTAAAAAGTGGATTGGATTGGATGATCTGAATGGAAGTGGAGCCGTTTCCTGCTCGTTAGAGGAATGGTATAGAACGCTACCCCGAGAAAGAGATGCAAGATCCAATAAAGCCGGATAGACTACCTCACAAATTCTAATCTTCCTTATTACTTCAGTCTATCTGTTCGCTCTCCACACTCTCTTTGCCTCGGACACTATTAAAAACACCAGGCCAGCGGATGGTGGTCTGTGGTGGTTGGTCGGTGCTAGTACTGAGTAAGTAGTCGTCAAGTCCTTGGTTCCAATAGATACCGGCAGCCAAGGATCTTTCTCTCCCTGGCCAAAGTGCCGTCGAATCTTGCGCGGTCATTGATCTGAGGTCATCTACCCTGTAGACGTTGAACTGCCCCGATGACCTTCCACCCCTCCCCAATCACTCTACAGCATCCAGCACCGTACTCTTTCATCGGAGTACCGGTACGCACCGGCATCTCCTAATTTTACTGTTAGTTGTGTTCTTGTCGTTGTCAGTGCGATGGAGATGGAATTGAAGCGGACCTGAGCTGGGTAAGAGGTGGCTGTAGCAACCCCTAGCTAGCTAGAGCAGCAAATAAGCTAACCTTCCCAAGAGTCAATTTCTGGATCGACAGGACCTCATGTACATGATGTGAGACCACAGACCTCAGGATACCCCATTACAGTGCAAAAAAGTTGGTAGAACCCCAGGACTCAGCCTTCTAAACCAGGAATAGCGCCGGGATTAACTCCGATCTGGACCTCCAGCCGAGGAACAATACAAGGCCAACACATGAACCTACACCTGGTCCTAATCGGGGACCTTGCCCACTGCACCCACTCTAGCTCCGCCAGTACTGGTACTCGCAGCTGAACTGGCTGGCTAGCCAATCTTCTACCAACGGTAGTGGTACGGGAGTTAAATCGAATCGAATCGAATCGAATCGAATCAATCGGCCAAATCACGAATGGCATCACTGCTCACTTCTTGGCCTGTGTGTTGTCAGACAGAGGCCTCGAACATAATCTTGCTCTGATCAAAGACAACCTTATAGTAGTAAACTATCTTTGCTTCTAAAGGCATTGGCACCAGTATCATGGCAAGTCGTATGGCTCCTTGGCACCTCCGCCAATTCCACCGGAGAGCTTCGTCACATCGAGTGGGCAATGAGTCAGATGGTACCAAGAAGCATGAAAATACCCTTCTCTCCCTGGGAAAGGACACTCAATCGGCGCATGCGATCTTTAGCAAGGCTCCCAGCGACTACTTTGAATGCAGTCAGAACGGTGGCTTTATCGTCCAAGATGGGAAAACAGTGACGGGGAAGATTGATGGAGACGAAGTAGTTTTTGAACTACGAGAAGATGTATCACAGAAACCCACTACAGATCGAACCCAACGTTTTGACGACAGAAATTTCAAATCCATCAACAACGAACCCTCTCGATGGGATATCCGTGGTCGGTTATACCTGATTCATTTGAGCCTCCCCCAGATCAAGGCCTGGTTTTTGTGTGGGTTCATGATCCTCAACTTTTTATTTGCAGGTCTTTGGTTCATTGAAGAAGACAAATGTTGTGGTGATCCTGATATGAGCTTTCTAGAGGTATTCGACTATGCCGTTCAGACTTCTTTTACTATTGGATACGGAGGTGAGAAGAATTTCCCGCTATTATAACCAACAAGCCAGCAGAATCTCCTGATGTGTCACTCACTTTGTTTGCTGCACAGGGTACGTCCCTCAAGGTATCTGGTCCAATTTCTTGGTGGTATTGATCAGCTTATTTGCCATAATGCAGATTGGAATATATACGGGACTGCTATACTTCAAGTTTTCATGTCCCGTAGCTAAAATTCAATTCTCGGATGTCATGACACTATCCAATGTCAATGGGCTTCCGTGCATCGAGCTACGAGTGGGAAATTGCGATGGATCCAGAAACAACCTGATTGATGTTTCAGCTCGAATGACATATCAATACACCATCAAGTACATGGACGAAAAGGGCCACGAACGAATGTTTGCTCAGACGGAAGAACTCATGTTACTGGCCGATCGACGCTTCGAACTCCGAGAAGTTGTATGGACGCTGAGGCATGTCGTGGATGAACACTCTCCATTGTATGGTTTGGATCTTCTAGAACCACCCGGCAGCAACATTGTTCAGTTCGACGTGTGCATCAATGCAACGCAAAAGATCACTGGGGCGCCTGTCTTTGCCCACACTGGTTATGAAATTGTGGACGTCATGATTGGACATCGATTTGTCGATCAAATTGAATATGATCGCGTCACCAGATCTGGGTTCTGTGACTATGCCAAAATGGACGACACGGTTCCGCATCCAGTGTGGTATCCTACGGCAAGGCGGCAGGCTAAGTAGCTGTGGGGCACGACAAAAGCTTTATTGTATGGATTCGTCAGCATCCAATTGGTTGCGCTTTAGAAGAACCGACAAATTGCCGGAGATTGGAACTTGACGCAACAACCTACTACCCGTGAAAGACCTTGGACTGTGTTTAGCAAAGGATTGAAGTCTTCTGTATTGCCATGGATCTACCGTTGATTATTGGGAGCTGCCACTAAAGCAAAAAAAATGTTGGATCATCAATGGATCAAAACCGTCAAGATCAGGAATCTCTTTGTCCATCATTGGAAAAAGTGTTACCAGAGCCCATCATCAGAAGAGGTGTGTGAGATACACCATGCGGCAGTTGGAGGTCAACATTCCCGCTACCTAAATGCATGGAGCATCGACCTATCATCAAGTCTGGAAATATACCGCGGTCGATAGTCATTCTATTCTCGTCGGCTGTGCTATTTAGGCAGTTGAATCTTTGTAATCATAGGGTTTCTGCATCAGCCATGTATCAAACCCTTCATGAGTTGTCACAATGTCAAGCCCCTCCGAGGCGGCAAAATCCTCGACAGCCCCTTTCACAGCACGTGGTTCCAGAGTCCCATCCTCGCAATGAGACCAATCCTTGTTGGGACCCAATGCTGCCACTGCAGACGGAGCATCAATGAAATCATGGCCTGCCAGGATTCCTCCTGGCCTCAATTTGGGCCAGTATGCGTCAATGTCTTCTTTCACCGCACAATAGTCATGTCTTGCATCCAGATACACATAATCATAGTACGAGTCTTGGAACAACGGCGCGGCATCTACCGACCTCATGACAAAGAATTCTGTAATGCTTCGGTCTGTATATGGCTTGAGAATGTTTTGAGCCTTTCTCAAATGTGCATGGTGGTGGGCAATGGTGTCTCTTCCGGGTTGCTTGTAGTTTGGATCGGCTCCCCACAAATCGACCAGCTTGTACTCTTTGCAGGATTTCCAGACACTCAAGGTGCGTCTCGCCAGAAAGCCTCGTTGAACACCCACTTCAATGCCCTTTGTGAACTTGAGCTTTTCAAGCCATGGAAGAATATGTCTCCGTTCCGGTAGATACGGCCAATCTTTCAAGAGAGGCTTTTCCTTTTGCCACCACAGGATTTCGGTTCCCCTTTTCTGTTCTACGACTGGTGTAAGAGCAGAATGCGCTTTGAAGGCTCTTGTTTCCTCTTCAACGGCGGGAGGAGGAGTGGATGGCAAGGAAACAGCTTCTTCCGCGGCGGCATTGCGATGTACCAAATGCGTTGCCCGTGGCAACCTCAAGAGTTGGAACATGCAAAAGAATCCAATGGATTTGAAGATGAAACTGGGATTGCCACAGCTTTCATCGCGACTTTTATTTCTGCTCTTCTGTCGAATCCTGGCCATGTTGTTGGGGGGAGAATGTGGCCGAGCATGGTGATGAGTGGTGCCTGCCAACCAAACGGTTGATGCATCAAAAATTTGAGGGCTGGTTCGGTCACAGTTGTTCCAGATCATGAGTGACGAGTCCAGTCTCACAGTTCCGGATTCACCTGTAAAACCTTTGTTGAGAGACTCAGTCCCGATAGTCTTCTAAATCATCTTCCAAGACTTCTCCTGTCGTGCTTTACTTATTACTTCTTTTTAGCACTGAACTTTTCACCTCTGCTGATGAAGTATCAACACACCCTCATGGATCGCCATTCTTCTGCTGCACACCGCACAAAAAAAAACTCATGAACAGCACAAACATCACCAACACCCTCTTCAGCGTCGAAAATATCCTTAGTGATCACGGCGAAAGTGTAAACCCCACCTTCGCCTTGGTTGGATCTGCGTTGGCCCTTGTTATCGGTTCTGTGGCATTGCTCGCCTCCTGGCCTTCTTGCCGTATTCTTGTCGTCCCTTTGTTTCTGTTTGTGGTGGCATGCTCTCTCTTTGTGTGGTATTCTTATTCACTTCGAAAGCTCGACAACGCAGACTATCAGGGTCTGGTCCGGGTGATTGACGTGACATATGACAAACGAGTCGAGGTAGTTGTCCAGAACAACAACAATAACAACAACAACAACAACAACCAGCAACAAAGCTACAACCACGTACCCTACAACAGCAACAAGCAAGAGAGAAAGGTAACCTACACTTGGCACTATGATGCCGTGGTTTCGGTGGACTGGGGATATGAGTGGGCTTGTTCCGCCCATCTTGACGGCTCGGGCCAACCCAAACAGTGCTTTTCCATAGTGCCACTATGCTCTCAGCGGATTTGCAGCCGCACGGGCAATAGCGGCAGACGCAGTTGCACTTATGAGAGTGAGCAACGCGCTCTCAATGACGTTAGGGAGTGCATGGCAAAGCGCTTCAACGGGACACGTATCCATAGTATTACCGACAGCTACACTCCCTTTGATCCTTTTGTGGGTCCTTCACAGGACGTTGACTGGCCCAGCATAATCGCTTATGGAGACTGTGACACGTGTGAGATCCATGTGGACCTTGCCTCCGCAGAGACCCTGAGGAGAATACGCACTGCGGGGTTTGTCTTTTTGTTCGTTAGCCTTGCAATGTTGGCCGCCCTTCTTCTGGTGGCTTTGTGTAATACGCTAGACTGCGAACGACGCAAGCGCCAGTTTCCGAGAAAACGGAAAGATAGCAGTGCTCGTGCTCCCAGTAACAAGCACAAGTGGGTGGCAAAGCCCGGTGTTGACAACATCGTGGCTGATCCCTGGGGCTTTCCAGAGATTACGGCACTCCCCGCAGGAAAAGACGAAGAAAATCCGCCACAACCCAAGGTTCCCAATGAAGAAACGGAAATTGTTGTGGAGCCCGAAGAAGGAGGGGAACAGGAGGAGGGAACCGGTGTACCCAAACACGATCATTTCGACAAGGACGCGGAAGATGAAGACAAGGACGCGGAAGATGAAGATTTAGAGGGTTTCAGATCTTGCCGCGAGTGGTGATACGACTGTACCAGTTCCATCCTTGGCTTCATGGGCCGCGCCTCTGGGTACTGTCGAGGGGGCGCCGGTACAGAATATGCGGGGTGACCGGCTTCCAGAGTATTGGCCGCTGGTTTCTTTTCTGTACCATGAACGAAGCATCCAAGTGTGCTGGCTAGGGTTTGATTCCGAGTGACAATCATTCATCCTGCCAGCCCAGACGCCAGCAACGGTCATGCAAAAAAAAGTATAGGTAGAAATTGTTATCGCACTATTTTAAAATGTTATTTACTGATAGACGGACATGGATGGCTGGATGGCATCTTGAGGTCACTAAGAAGCAACGAGGTCGGTGGGTTTATTGTGCCTGCCACGCGGCGTTGATTTTTTGGATGTTGTCACTGAGTATGAAGAGCCGTGACATCGCCTTTAAACTCATCAACGAAGCATAGATTCCTTTTGGATTTCACCTACGGTCACGCAGCATCCACACTTGGGGAAAAGATTCAAGCCCAAGACGTTGACAGCCAAAGGCACCTCGCTATTGCACGGGATGGCAGCGGAAACGACTGCACAGCACCCTTGAAGCTGGATATTCACCAAGCTCAAACCATCGCACTCACATTTTGGACCAATACAGCCACATGGTAGACAAGGGGCGCTCGGCTTGCAGCAAACTTCACAATTCAGGCAGCAAAGGCCGATTTTTCCAGAACATCCAATGCTACTCGTAGAGGAGAGGAGCAAGATAATCAGCCGTCGTCTTCAGTCAAAGGCATAACACAGAGGGAGAAGACTGATAACATGATGTAGATGTAACTCACCAGTCGGCGTCATTGTAGTACCCACAATTCGCACAGCACAGGGCACAGCAGAGGATGATGTTTTCCTCGTCGACGGCGTCTTCGTCACTGAACAATGTCATGTTTGCTTTCTATCCCGCTGCTGTTATGGGTTTCTCAAGTACAAATAATATGAGCTCTCAGTGGATTGCCACGATCAGTGTTCCGTGAATGGAGATCTCTCTTGCTCTGAAGGTTCCGGGAAGATCTCTTGCTCTGCCCTCAACGCCCCACCAGCGCCATGTTGGTGGGTGTTTGCATCGCTGATTTTCCGTTGACTCACAGCGTACTCTACGAGGTTGTTGCCATCGCGGCATTGGTGCTAAGGTAATAAGCTGGCAAGGCTGCTGGAGGGGAGCCTCCTCCGAAGGAGAAGCAACTGCAATTGATTCGATTCGATTCCTCTTTCCTTGAGCCCAGCGGTCACCGGTACTGGTAGTCGATTCTACCGTAGTGTTTCCCTGCGACCCTAATTTGTACGTGCTTTACAACTGGTGGCTAGCTACTCGGATTCCATCTACCGGTAGTGCCGGTGGAGAGGCGAAATGTGCAGCATGTGCAGCTCTACCTAGCAGCAAAGAAGTGAGTGTTTTGCTCATTACTCCTCCTTGTTGTGCCTGCCGCCCCAGAAAGAGGATCAGCAAATTGATGTTCCGATCGGTCCGTGGTATCTGGCTAATACGCACACTTGAAACATGCACTTCAGGCTGTCACAACAAAGCGGTTCCCTCACGTTGCTTGCTTCAAATCTTCCTCCTGTGCTACTGGAGTATATGTCTTGCAAAGGATTCGGCATTGTCCAAATACAAATGATGCCCGGCATTTGGCACAATAGATATAGATGCAACGTCATTCGAATTTGATTGTTGAGACAGGTAGCTCAAAGCTTTCCTGGCACTTGGTTCGTTGGGCCTCATCCAATCATGGTCTCCATAGAGGACCTTCCAGTGGAGCTTTGATTCTTGTCGTGTGTGTTGCCGTTGGGCATACTCTTGAAATAGTGGTTCCAGAGGTTCTCTGGCGAATACTCCTGCAATGTCTGGAGACATGCCGGGTTCCAGCAACGAGTTGATGGCAAACTCTCCAGAAGGATGAGCAGCTGTAATGTGAAAGAGATAATTTGCCAGAATCTCTAGGACATGATCGTCAGAGTCTCCGGCCGCCAGCTGAGGGATCCTACCAGCCAAAGCACGACGAACGGCATTTCTCCCCCGAGTGGCACCCATCATTCGGACCAGCTGTTGAGGAGTGACATTGGCACTCCAGAGGGCATCCACCAACCGAATAGCCGTTGGCATTTGTGCCGAAGGCAGCAAATTCGTAGGTTTAGAAGGGAATCCCACAGGAGAAGCTAAGATAACCTTCTCCATGTTTATAGTGGATCCAGCACTGTTGCCGGCAGTGGAGTGTTGAAGAGCATATCTTGCCACGAGGTATCCACCCAGTGAATGTCCGACCAGCCAAGTCGACTCGTTCTCTCCTATTTCTTCTTGAAAGAGTTGATGCAATGGATCCAGAAAAAAATCCACAGCTTGCGAGGGATTGAACCTAGATTGACACCATGCCGTCGTACAATCCGATAGCCCGCGAATGGGTCTTCGGCAATAGGGTCGGTCCGAACCTCCCATGCCCAACCAATCCACCAGCAACACACGCCCAACCCTCCCACTGTCAAGAAGTGGATCGATGTTCCTGAAAAAGAAGCCCAAGCCACTCCCGTAGCCATGAAGCAAGACGACTGTGGGAGGCTCGGTAGCAGTGGGCGTCCCGCTGCTGCGATCGTTGGTAAACTCGGCCACGTTCATTCCATGCCGTTTCGCAACGGATACTAGAGGTGCCCTTACAAAAGTCTTTAGCAGCCTTTCCTGAGCATCAAACAGTTGCTTATCATTCGTCCCAGTCCACCATTGTCGCAAGGCTCGGACAATCATGGCTATGCCTGTTGTTATCTTCGAAGTGCAGGTGAATGATGATGATGTCGGGGAGGAGGCAGGTTGGCTGTTGTATCGTTCGATCTACGATAGGGTGAAAGCTACCGGTTTACTTTAGTTTAGTTTTTGATTGGATTTAAAAAAAAAGGCTCCTCTGAGCAACCACCGCAGGAGTGACGGTCGAGTCCCAAAAGCTACGACTGTACCACCAGTTCCGAAGAGACCTCGATCTTTTCCTTGACCACTCTGTCTTGCTTGGTGGTACATGTAGTTTCACCCAGAACGTGCAACAATCCGGTCCAATGGAGCAGTGGGCTTCGGGTCGATATCCATTGATTCAACTGTCTCCCTCCCACTTCGCACTGCCAAAATTGAAGCCCCAACTGGTACCATACCGATAGCTAGCCAGCGTCGCTGGCTGGAATCTTGAAAGAGGTCTCCTGGATCCTCCGTGGCGTCCGTCGGTGAGGCAGGGTCCAGAGGAATCCCAGCCACACGTGAGATTGAATCATGGAGGAGGAGGACAGCAAATACAGGGATCAGCAAGGTGACCCAAAACTACTCTAACAAATCCCAGACTCGACCGACACTCGCAGCAACCGAAATGGCTTGCTTCGGATGGACTTGACTTTGCACGTTCTGAGAGTTCCAACAGCAGGCCATGTGGGCCCCCTGCGGGCCACCTGACCTCCTCCCATCCTTCCATCTTCCATGAGCGGTACGGCATCCCTATCACGGATCCAGGTTCGCTACTGTGGTACCGTAGCAGCTGCTCCAGTCGGGGTATGCTGCCTTTGTGAATCTTGGAGCTTACATATGGTTGCAGATCTCACTCGGCTCCGACATTCAGTCAGGGATAACTGTTAAATCTCTGTCTCTCTGGAAGTGTTTCGAACAAGAGAAAACGTGTGAACAAGGACGAGAAGCAATGGTAAATCGTACCGTACAATGGTACCAAACCAGCGGGCACAATAATGTCTGTTATTTTGGTCATAAATCACAAACGGAGTGATCGAAAATCGAAAACCAAAAAAGCTCTCTCTTGAATCCGAAAAGTACCACTCTGAAGCATCTCCCGTTGACACTGAGGTCTAGTAGAACACCAAGATCAAGATGAGCAACCCCAAGGCCACTACTAGGACTAGCAGATCCAACGTGTGGGAGCATCCCTGTGAGCTCCCGGAAGAGGAAGAAGCTCGCGAACCCAGCATCGACAAGGGCAAGGGCCTCGGCGAAACTCAGGGGGACGAAGAAGGTTTCAACGAAGAAGATCCACTCTTTCGGGATGAGGACGAAGAGAATTCTACCGTTTCCATGGAAGGACTACAAGAAGAGAAGAAACCAAGGAACAAGGTTTTGTGGGTGGTGGGGTCGATCCTGTTGGTGGGAACACTTGTCTTTCTTGCTGTCGTGATCGCTTGGATTGTGGACTTGAAAAAGGTCAAACCCAGAGTCGAAGCAGATCCCCTCAAATTCATCAGTCTGGGAGAGCTGTCCGTAGACGTGACTCAACCACGCCCTGAGCTATCTGTCGAGGTCAAGATCAAAGAGACTGCTTTTCCAAAGTATAGCTTCTTGGAGCCCACCGGCGCGGATTGCATTCTTTATTTTTATGAATTGCCTTTTACTGCCACCTTTACTCCGCTGGAGAAGACTCAAGAAGACGGTGCTGGAGATGGCATTGCTGCGAAAAACTTCCTTTTGGAAGTCGAGTTTCCTGATGATCAGCACAAAATTGGAGGTTGGGCCGATTTTACTTGGGCCTCCCTGACTCGAAAGAGAACTTACTGGGGACCATGGCAGTGCGAGATGCACTTCCACGTCAAAATGGGCGGGTGGCTCTCCTTCCACACCACCAAGATCGAACGTGGGAGATTGGACTTTGGATCGGCCGAGGAAGCCCTACCACGTCCACCCAGTCTTATTTACCAGTCGCACGGACCCACTATGGAGTCCAGCAGCGCTTCGTTGGCTTGGATGCAGCAAGATGAGGACGCGAACGACCAAGCAGCAAACCTACCTTACTACTCGATCCATGACACTGTTGATCCATCCATTCCACCAACGACAATTGCGCCATCCACAATGGCACCAGTCGACAACCAAACATCACCAGAATTTGACTTGCACACTCCACCCGGCAACGAGGCCATCCTTCAAGTCCCCGGGAATGTCCCACCACAAGATGGTTTGATCCAGCCCGGAATGGTAGTGGTGCGTTCACTCTCGGTGGATCGCGTCGACTTGGGAGTTCGTCTGCCGGCTTTGCCTTCCGCTGTGTTTGAAGTGGTGTCAAAGATCCATGTCAAGATTCCGCCGGTCCAGATCGAAGTTGCCACTCCACAGAACATCCAACAGGCTGCTGCTGGCCAGGCCAATAGAGGTTCCCGCCAAGTTGTCCGTTTGAACGAGTTCAATGTCACCCTGGAAGATCAACAGGAAGAACAGTATGCTAGCCTTCAAATCAGTTGTGGAAAGGGAGACACAACTTGCCCATGGTTCAACCCCCTTGTGGACACGGTGTCAACAACACTTTCCCCCGACCATGCGCAGAAGGATGACAAATTGGTGCTGAAAGTTACGATGGACGCAGACCAATCCTTCTTGGAAACGATGATGGGACACGAACACAATGTTGTGATCTATCGGTATCAGTTGCCTCGTTTCGACTCTGACGGCCAAAGGCAGTTGGAACAAGGAGGTGGTCCCATTATGGATTGTGTCGTTGCCAAAGATGCATTGTTGGGGGATGTCTTGAGTCTATCTGCTTGCATCGACATTAGACCGTCCGATGGGATCTATTTCAATGCGGACGCACAGTTCTACAGCTTTTCTGGAATGGCTCTGGCGGATATTGTTTGGAAACGCGAGGGTGATGTCTTTTCGCTGGAAACCAATGCCAGGATGGCATTTGATACTGACAACACTAACCGAGACAACTCTGATCAGCCCAAGTTCAACATCTCGGGTGCAGCAATTCTGGATTTGGATCAAAGCAGCGTAGATATTCAGATCAGCAACACAGCCGAGTGGTGGCCATCCCGGGCACTTCTGCAGGGTATGTGGGAAGGGGACGGCTACGACGAATTGTTGAAAGTCTCTTTGAGCAACGCAATATTGGAAGTCAAGGATGAAAGCTACGCCAAAGCCACCGGGCTTTTCACTCTGGATCTCATTGGTGAAACAATGTCGCTTACGCTCAATGACCCTCGCCTGGAAGTGGCTATCGATGGCCTTGTTGAGTCAGAGTACCCAGAAAGCAAGGCGGCGGCGACTTGGAAAGTCGTGTTTGAGGATGAGGATATCAATGTTGGCGAGTCTTCGCTCACCCTCACAGAATCTGGCTACCGCGATTTACGAGGTGTCGTTCAATCATCGTCCGAAGGGAGGCTGCGAACGAGTGTGCAGGGAGAATTCGATCGCTCTGACGTATTTTTCGTGAAACTCCATGATGCTAGAATGCATTGGGACGATGACATGTTCGCAGACATGTTGGGCAGTGTCACTTTGGACGACAATGGTGTATCAATGGACCTGTCAGAAAGAACCAACGACCACTCGATTGATTTCTCCTTTGGGGATGTCTACTGCGATGGTGACTGTCTTTCTCTCCGAGGAACCACAAACGCAAGACTAAGCGGTCGTAACATCTATACCTGTGATTTCGTGATGGATGCTGTAAACAACTCCCCCGAGTATGATCAAGGCACGGTCACTGCTGGAATGAGGGGCGCTGTTGATCAATATCCATATGCGGCCTCGGTTGATGCTGACTGGGCTTACGATACCGGTAGCGATGAGGCGTACCGAGTCCGATGGAGCGATTTCAGCTTGGACTTTGATGGCAGGGACATTATGTCCATGAGCGGCCAGTTTCGCGTCCCCGACAACTACAATCAGCCCAAATCAGTTGGAGAGTTGTCATGCTTCACTGGTCCCACCTCGGAGGTGACGCTGTTGGTTGACGGGGATTGCGAGTGGCACAAGACAAGAGAAACCTTGACGTGCACTGTAAAGGATCTTGGCTTCGGTGTTTCGGGGACTGAATATGTGGATGCTAAAGGCGACATGACGCTAAATGTACCAGCCCAGAACATGGTGCTCACAATCAATGATGACTACAAATCTCAAGACAAGAACGGTTTTGATATCGAAATGTCTGGATTGATTATCGGAGATATTGTAACAGCTGATCTCAGGCAGCTGAAGGTCGTCTGGGAGGACGAGACAATGATGGATGCAAACGGTCAAATCACCTTGAATGGAGAGGACATTTCCATGGGTATGCAAGCCGAAGACACAGTATCGGATTCGGCGTTTGGGGTGGAGCGAGCTGCTCTGGATGTACAAGTCAATGACTACGACGAGGTTGATTCCATTGGGGTGAACATGGAAAAGATGACAGCGAAGGTCAACGGTGAAGCCTGGATGGATGGACGAGCGAGATCTGCGCTTGATATGGTCGCCTCGACGATATCATTTTCGATGATCAACAACACGACGAAGCTGCCAATGGACATAGATCTGGTCATAAGCTTTGACTCAGACAAGGGAGTGGACGGCCTGGCAACGCTGGTGCCTTACGTGGAATCAGATGGTTATGGCTTGGCTTTCAGGAACGAAACTGAACCGTCGGGCGCTATCACGTACGCCACGAACTTGACTCTCATCGGCGCGGGCGCAGAATGCAACCCAAATGCAGAGGGGACAACTTACTATACAATCACACTCGAGAATGCCCAGTCACTTACTGTTGCTGAGCTCATTGATGCCTTCATTGGAGCCGACAAGGCGCTGGAGAAGGATGCTTGTGCTCCTGTTGTTGTCACTGTATCAGTGGTTGAAAGAGGACAGGCAGCAAGAAGGCAGCTCCAGTCGAACGCAACTTCCGGTCCTGAAACAGTGACGTTTGAGGTCAAAGCCTTGGTGGATCCAGTGGTCTCCCCGGTAGAAGAGTTCAGCTTGTATGGAGGAGCCGAGGGTGACGCCAGCTTCACCAATGCGTTTCGTGAGCATGAAATTATTGTGGAGAGCGGTGCAGTTGTTGTGGAAGGTGGAGATGCTCCTGCTCAACCTGGGCCAGCAATCTTGATCCTCGACCCTCCAACGCCCGCTCCAAGTTCGGCAAGACAATCTTGCTTTGTTTCGTTGGCAGTAAGCTTGGCTATGCTGGTGTCGGCCGCTGTGGTTGCGTTGCCGTGGTGAGCTGCTCGAACGGATAAGAATGGGAAAGAGGAGATTGCATTGTGCTGGTCTACTGATGTGATACATAGATACACGAAAATTTAAAATGTAAAAACTGTTTGGATTCGATTCGCGAGATGACTGATAGTTTTCAATACCAAGCGGGAGGCCCAGGCCCGAACTTGCTTTGCTTCTTTTTGTGTCTTTGTTTCGCTGTTTCCTTTCCCGATAGCTCTGTCTGGGAGGACAGGGAGCCGCCAACCAGCCCTGCTCGAAATCGTTTGCGAAACCATCCCATGCTACCCTTGCCTGCGTGAGCTGAAGTTGGCCTAAATTTATGGTACTGGGAGGTTGAAACGTTGAAACAGTATTCGCGTCCACAGTCACAGGCATTTCCCAGTCCACCCAAGATTCAACCCGTTAAGTGGAACTGAATTATGAGTGTCATTGGTGTGGCGAGGTGAAGTGGGACAAGGTTCCAGGGAACAAAGCAAGAAGACAAAATCCCGAACGATTGCTTGTTTACCCGTTTGCAACATCAATTCCAGCCCCATTCGGCCCATCGGTTCCAGCCCCATCAATCAAGCACCAAGCACCACAAATAATATAACAGCACAATGAAAGTTTCTTTTGAAGATCAGGAGCTAGCCGTCGAGATACCGACGGATATTCTTGACAAGTACCACGACGAATATCAAGCCCGTCAAAACAAGTATTTCGGTTGTGCAAAGTACGAACGGGCCGCTAGGATTGCGCAACGGTTTCTGAAGCGCCATTTGCGAGCGTTGACCAGGTTCAATGATGAAGAAGCCCTGTTGCAAGACAGAATGGAAGCCCTTTTGGATGTGCAAAACATTGAGCTCGAGACCGTGCAAGGATACAAAGTTGAACGTTTGGCAGAGTTGGATCAGGAATGGAAGAGGAACTGAGGGAACTTGAACAACAAGAGATTGAACATCTCCAACAAGAACGAACCTTGCGATATGACACCATGGAAGAGATTGAGACATTAAAAGCGGAGTATTACCATGAAAAACAAAAGCATGTCAAATACACAGCCCGTCTTAGCAAGGAGCAAAGCAAAGCCGATACGCTCACAAAGCTCGGCAAGCTACAGCGAAGACGACGCAAGCAAAAGCGATTAGTGAAGGAGGCCAAGAACGAAATAGGCAGTCTGCAGTCTCAACTGAAACAGGTAGAAGATGATTTGGATATCGTCGCCAAGCAAAATGAGAGTATTCTGGCCTGTATTCAGGCGATTGCTGAACGCCTGGAAAAGGAGAAGATTGTGCAAACTGAAGCCAAAAGGCCACTCGATGAAGACCTACCCGCTCTGGATAAGTCATTGTGTGTCCAAAAGAAGAAGAAGAAAAAGCACAAGAAGAAGAAGGTGGAAGAATCACGGGGTTGCGAGCCTACTCTTCCATGTGCTCGACAACGACCAACCTATCTGCTCAACAGGATGCAGGAATACATTGAGCTTCAATGCACGACATCTGCAGGCCAAGAGCTACTGGATCGACGACAAAGATTTTCCCATGCCAGCGAGTTCTCGGCAAAAGAGCTCTCCGTGCGTAGTGCACGGTCTTGTCATCGTCACGGGAGACACCATCGGGTCAAGCCGTCCTAATCATGGACTACACCGACACGTTGTATGCTTCATGTGCTATGGCTGCTGCTTCCACGTTTCCACGGTAAGGTAATCAACAGCTTTGAACCACATATAGTAGTCTCGCTGTCAATGACTGTTCCGTCCATTCGTCGCAGTCTGCTTAGGCAATATTGCCACGGTTCCATCGTTGGCCCAACGGGGTGTGACCCTCAAACGAATGGGTATACGGAGTGTTAGACATAAGATAGTTTCAACCTGCCTCCTGGCAGCAAAACTGGCTTTCGCGACCCTCCACTGCTCTGGGACCGTTATCGGTAGCGTGTTGTTGCCGAGTTGCCGAGACCAGTACCGGTACCTGGTACCCCCGACAAACGCGCGAGAGGTTCGTGTGCCAGCCGAACATAAACACAACTCGAATGGAGTGGTTTCGATGGCTGAATGAAGAGGTTTCGCCAGGAGATACGTTCCGTTTTGATCAGATCCATCGTGGAAAGGCCAAGGTCGACCTGGACGCTTCCCACAAACTGGCCTTGGTCTGATTCTTCATAGCATCATTTCAACACGTTCCATAGATTCGATTCAGAACCATGTCCGGCGAACAGAAAGTCTTGAACGCTCTTGCGGCTTTGATCCAACAAACGGGGAAGGAGGAAATTCCAAAGCCTCGTGTGGCGACCACGGCTCAGATTTCGAAAGCTACCTTTCCAAGCTTGCTTTCCCGCATGAAGAAGAAGGGCTTGATCGACTATGGTTCTTCCAATGGAACCCTTATTCTCACGGAGACCGGCTCCGAAAAGGCAGATCCCTTGGATGTAGCTGGAAGCGATGAAGAGCACCACGAAAAGATCAAGCAAGAGTTGAAGGGGAAAGCACGTGCGATTTTCGAGTTCCTCTCGGACGGCGAAATCAAGGACAAACAGGAGGTTATGGAGGCTGTCGAGTGCACCAACCCAAAGACGTTTGCGCCACTGTTGTCACGAGAATTGAAGAAGAAGGGATACATTTGCTATCCTTCAAAGGGGAAGGTTCAGTTGACAAAAGAATGCTTCCCGATCAGTCGTCGCGGTGGTGGTACCGGCGACGATGACTAAAGAGTGACGAGAGTGAGTTTCCATGTCTTGCTCGGCTATGATTGTGCGGCGACTGCATGGTCACTCTACAGTAGTAACCTCTAATAGCGAGGGACAGGTTTGCAGTAACGATATAGCTCCTTCGCTTCTATTAGCCAGCAGCCACAATCCTTTGCTCTAGAAAGCCATACTCGTGGATTGGTAGTGCCCCACTATATATACAGTTATCAGTTACACAACTACCCAGTGCCACGATGATTGTTGATTGCTTTTATTGTACGGTATGATTAATACTTATAGAGGATGCACAAAAAAGAGAGCGGCCGTTAGATAGGCTCCTGCTGGGCTTGATATCGGTGACTGAGTATGACAGGAAGCGGCTCCATGCTTGCTCATGAGTGTCACTTGTCGTCCCGCCGACATTGCTGCCCTGGCCACCATTTCCAAAAAGTACTGTCCTCCATCTTGTTGTGTCATGGCAGCCGAACAAGTGCAGGTCATGAGCAATCCTCCGTCGGTAGGGTTGACCAATTTGATGGCATCTCGATTGAGCGCGTGATACTTGCGACTGGCTCGATCCAAACCTTTGGCGGTGGGTGCCAATTTTGGTGGATCCAAGACGACCACGTCATAATACTGCTGTTGCTGTTGTTGCTGCATGAACTCGGTAATATCCGCTTGTTGGAATGAAACCTTGTCGGCACACTGATTGATGCGAGCATTTTCCATCGCAATGTCAATGGCAGCGGCACTGCTGTCGACGCCGACGGCCTTGGTGGCTCCTCCCTGTAGGATGGCCGTGAGACTGAATCCCCCGTGGTAGCAACACAAATCCAAGACGGTCTTGCCATGTGTGTATTGTGCGAGTGTGTGTCGATTTTCTCGTTGATCGCAATAGACACCCGTCTTTTGTCCCAGTTCCGTAGGGAACGTTTGAAAAGTGACGCCATTTTCCAATGCCAGAACTGGTTCGTGATGATCGTTGTCGTCTGGTTGTGTTTGCTGTGGCGGCGAAGGGTATCCATCTTGTTTGAGCCTGGATTCTGCGACTTTCCAAATGAGATTGGGACAGGGCATGACTTGCTGGAATGTTTCGAGAATGATCTCTTTGTGAATCTCACACCAGGCGGCCGAACTTTGAATGACGATATGGTCCTGGTTAATCACATCGACTTGGAGCCCCGATAGAGAATCTCCTTCTCCATTGACCAAGCGATACATGGAAGTGATAGCGTGATTGTTGGTGAGGCTGAGAGCTTGTCGCTTTTTCAGGGCTGCTTGGAACTGATGACGTAGAATCATGGCCAACGTCTCTTCGGCCGTCCAATCGTCCTTTTGGTCGATAATGGATTGATAGAGTTTGGGCTGGAGATAGCGATGACAGAGAATACGTACTCGGTAGAGACTGTTGGGATTGAAGACTCCCCATCCAATAGAGAGAGGCTTAATATTGTTGTTGTTGTTGCTGTCTTGTTTGTCCTTGTCCTTGTGTTTCTTAATCTTATTCTCGACGGCCACTTCTACTAGTGTTCCCACGGTGGCATTTCCCTTTTGAATGGATCCTTGAAAGACGAGTTGATTTCCATTGCGAAACGCTTTGGATTGTCGTGAGTGTTTGAGAAGAATCACGGGCGAATCCGAGGTTGTGAGTACGGGCGGTGGAGCAATCGTTACAGAGACATCTGCTGCAGTACTGCTGCTGCTGCTGCTGCTGCTGCTGCTGGTAGACCGTGTCGATTGGTGGAGGACAGACTTGATGTTATGATTGTGGAGCGTTGTTCTTTTGGAAACGGAATGAACCAACGAAAAGCAAGAGACTCTCTTCAAGGGGAGGTTCATTGACAGCATCAGGACACTCATTAGTAGGCTCATCCCATCCCAACTGGTTGATCGGACCTTCATTGTTCTTGATTAGCTCAACTAGCCAGAAGTAATGAAACTGACTGCTGAAACCGCAGATCTTGTGAATCGAATCGAATCAACTTCCGAGGCGAGATGATGGGTGGCCATCAGGCAAAAAATGATTCCAGGCAGTCCGGTCACGTTAGTGATTTATGGTGGGAAAGATCTTTGCCGCGTGGGCGCAAGCTACCGGTGAGTCACGGAAACCGGGGGTGTGACATGATGAGAACGTGCGAGATTTCCAAAGATATCTAACTAGTACTGGTAGATGGGGACAATCGAGATCCATTTTCCGAAACGTCCTTATGGTTCTTTGAACAAGAAATCCCAGATTTCCCGATCTTCAACCCAAGATCCCCAAAAAGAGATATCAGGAATCAGGAGAGTGGGTTACTCGGGACTGATTAGCGATATTTGTCTTCCGCGGTACTGGTACCGGTGCGAGGTAGGTTCTGGTTATCGTACCGGTACTGTACCCGTACTAGCTAGATCGTTGATGGCAAGTCTCAGATCAAAGATCCTGGATGGCAAGTCTCATTATATTTTTCACTATAAACACCAATATCACTTTGAGTGCAATTGCTTTGACAACGTCCAGCGCTTCAACGAAAGATCCAAACAACACTATGGATGCAGAGGGCTTATGCTTCACTATGAGCAAGAACTCCTACGAGAGGTCCAGGGAGAACCAGTTGATCGAGCTGTCTGAGTTGTCTGAAGCCGAGGGATACACGAAGAGCAAGAGCGCCCGGGAGTTGGCCAGCGAGGTGCGTTTGATGGAGGAGAAAATTGCCCTTCTCACTGACAAACACGAACGTGCTATCGAGAGCCATAGCGAAAGATACAAGAACGTTCTCGACCGTATCCAGGCCATCGACGACCGCACCACTATTAATACCGGTACCGGTACCGGTATGGATAATCAAGCTCCAAAGGAAGCTCCATCCCAGTTGCAAACCGAGGATACCCAAGGAGATCCCACGGAAAAGAGCATGGTGGCAAGAGTTTGCGGGGGCTTCTCGGACATTATGATCCGTCAAATCAAGTCGGTGGATCTTATCCGTCGCTTTCCCTATCTCACTGCTTTGGCAGTTGCGTTCTCTATCTCTCTGCTCAAGGTTGCATTTGTGGTTGTATTCACGGTATTCACCCAGCAGAGTTGTGTCCCCAGCAGTTCCATCGTCAGCTCGGATGTGCCCCCAGAATCACTCAAAGAAACGTTTGATCCTCTGAAAGGTCAGGGGCTCTGTGTTTCTTCTTCGCTCGACGAGGAATACACTAACCTCTTTCAAAAACAATAGCCTCGACCAAGAGTTTGGTGTCTTCAACTTCACCACTGGTGCCGATGAGCTCAGACTCGAAGATTTCTCGGCTTACAATATTTCCGATATCTGGACTGGTGTCACAGGCGGCTTGCCCTATCAAACACCCAGACATGGTTTCCGTGATTTCGCCCGATACGTTCTCCGAGAAAATGCATACATACACGAGTGCGCTCGCTATTGTAACGAATTGGATGGCAGTTTCATTGGTTGGGCGGCGGTTGTGGCAGAAGTTGAAGTCTATGCCCAGCCGGTCGCTTCCCGAATGGAGTGTTTTTGTTCGTTCGTCACCAATAATTACGATTTTCTGGGGTATGTGCACCGGGAAACGTATCTCGCAAATCCAACATGCCTGGTCGAATACCACAAGAAAGAGTCCAACAATCCAAACTGTACTCTTGACTCGCACACTGCCAATGGGACGCTTCAGGAAGAAATCAACTGGAACAACTTTACTCTCTATACCCGCAGTCCAATTGTTGTCATGAGTTCCCTGGAACGTGGAAACTTTTCTGCCTGCGATCAAGCCAAAGTGAAAGAAGCATGTTTTGTTCCTACATTTTCAGTTTTTGGTGAAGAGCAACCAGGTGGTCTCGGAGAAAAGCTAGCGCTTGAAAGAGAGATACAGATTATTAATCACGCCTGGGAGTCTGTGCCGCCCAACGTTGCTCGGGAGCATCGGCCAGCTTGGGTCCGGTGTGTCCTTCCAGGATTCTCTTGTGATGATTATGGGTCTACGAGCTGCCCGGAACACTCGAGATTTGCGTGCAACGAGCAGACGCGAGAGTGCATCGGCCTAACGACTGTCAGCTACGTCTCTTGTCCACTGATTCTTTCAACTATTGGGTCTGGTATGGGTTTCATGGACCTCGTGGAAATTGTTTGTGTTTGTGTTGTGGTGGGTCTTGTTCTCGCTTGTCGAGGACAAATGCGGGAAGCTCTTCCTATATGGTCCGAGGCTGCAAACGAGCGCTACATCGTCGAGCAGCTTCGAGATGAAGTGGAACACATGAAGGATTCGGCTAGAACAGATCCGGCCCGGAGTTTTTCTACACAGAAACAAGAGCAAGAGTGAGCAACAACTTATCTGTTGCTTGTGTCTGGTTGGAACAATGCTGTTTCGCATCGCCACGTTCACAACAAATTCGTTCCGGATGAGTCGAGTCATCCAACAAGACCCCCTACTTACAAGCAACCAAAAAGACGACCTTGGGCCGAAGAAAACCAGGAAAACTATACATATTGTACCCCTAACGGTACCGTACATAGAACTCATGACTATCGTATCCCAACCCAAACATACAATCATAACTACGAGCCAGTTGGAACAGCTGAAGCAATCAATACGATCCAGCAAGGAAAGTGAACGGGAATGTCTACGATGTGATAGAGGGGACTACCTGTACCTACCACCGGTCGGGGTGAAGCAGTTGTGAGCAAAGGTCCAGCGGGCAAGGAATGAAAACCAATGAGCAGGCAATGAAGGGGGTTTTAGAGTAGGTGGATTATCTACGGAAGACAGTCTTTGTCCCCCCCTGCCTGGCATCTCCTTCTTCTGGCCTGCTCATTGGTTTTCTGCGGTGTAAAAAGAGAGCCAGGGCTAGAGGGGAGGGGCAAGGAAAACTTTTTGCTAAAATCGTACCCGTACCGGTACCGGTACCGTACTAGTACCGCACGGCAAGGAAAAGCCTTCTTCTTTCGAGATGAGAAAGCCGTGTCTGGTCACGTTAGTGATTCATGGCGGGAAAGATCTTTTCACACGCGATCTTTTCGTCGTTGCTCCCGTCCTTCCAAAAACAACCAGCAAAACAACCAAAGCGCAGCCTCACTCCTCCTCCCTTCTTCCTTCCCAAAACAAACACAAAGAAGTACAAGATGAGACAAAGATTTCGACGTTCCGTTCTGTTGCTCGTTCTCCTGGCGTCGTCATCTCTGATGGTGATGCCAGTAGGAGCTGATGAAGGCGAGCAGGAGCCGATTCAGCACCAGGAGCATGCGGAAGACACTCCTCAAGAAGACCCAGTGCCACCACAACAGCAGGAGGAGGAAAATCCTCCACAAGAAGAAGCTGTAGTGGAAGAGGAAGAGCCACCGCCGGCAGTACAAGAAGAATCACCACCTGTTAAGGAAGAAGAAACACCACCTGTAGTGGAGGAAGAACCACCTGTGGAAGAAGAGGAAGAAGAAGAACCAATTGACGATTCCTTGTTTGAATTGGACGTTTTCGAATGTCAGGCACCCCGAGGAGAACGGGACAACCGTGCGGGTCGACTACCTCCTGGAGCCGTCATGACGTTGTGTTTCCGTCCCAAAAATGATAATAACAAGGACGCAGTCCAACTCCAATCGATCGAACACTTGGATTTTGTCGCTGACAAACGATCCGGTCCTACGCAGGCGGCCATTCGCAACAATGAAGCATCCGGGCCACTCACGCGCTCCCTCTGTCCCAGTGTGGAAGATCCCACGCTCTGCATTGCCGCCACCAAACTCAACGACGAATTCTTTGACAAAGCATACAACAATGCCGTGGCCACGGGAGCCATTTCCGTACACGCCGCCGGGGAAACACGACGCGTGCCCTTTGAATACGAATTCTTGACGGCCAAACAAACCAAACCACCTCCGGTTGAACACGACTTTTTTGACATGCCCAACACGCCATTGCCATTTCCTTGTAGTAATGAAATTCGAATTTGGATGTTGGCAGCTTTGATATTGACACTCTTGGAATTTGCATTTTCCCCGACCGATGATGACGACAAGAATACGGGGAAAAAGAGTGGCTCTGCCAAAGAAGGTGGGGGCAAAAAGAAAAAACCAAAAAAGGAATAAATTACGAGTACTGTACCTAAATTGAAGCTTCAATGCAATCTGCAACATTGATGTACGGTACGATGGAGTCTTTAATAGTGTCAAATCCATGCACGATGGTTTTAAAAAACTTGCAACAAACTATGATCATTCGATTCAACTCAATCTGTAATGGAGACTTTACAATCCACGCAGTAGTCTTCTTGGCCATGGTACGGTAGTTCTTTCACCGCCGTGTTTGCATTGACAAGAAACAGCCATAGAGAAACGCGAGAGTGCGAGAACGAGATACTCGAATCGAATCAAATCAGTCTCAGCCAAAGAAACACACTCACTTATGCAACGACAAGGGATTTGGTGGTGGTCAAGGAGAGGCAACGAAAAGGAGGGAGGCTGCCGGTGTAGATTATCATTCGATTCTGAGTGTACGGTACAGATCAAAAGTGTGTTGAACATTTTTATTATTATATAAGATACAAGATAAAATGGTCCTTGCATCATTCATGCGTGTCTCCGTTCACATAATCAATCATTCCTCACTTAGGTGACGTTTCCGTTCAGAACGCAATGCCGAATCTGGTCTACCCTTACCAGTTGCCGTCATCGTCGTCGTCATCATCAGCATCAAAATCAGCCATCTCTGCTTGCAGCTTGTCGTCATCAAGCACATTTGTCTTGTGAAAGCACTTCATCATTATTGTCATGGACTTGGCCACGGACTTCAAGCGCGACGATGGGTCCTCATATCCCTCCTGAGTGGCTAAGCCAAACCGATGGTAGAGGCCAATGAAACGTTCCACGGGCATCAGCTCTCCAGTTTCGGACAGCTTGCGGAGAGTGCCTTTGGCACAATCAATCCAGGAGTCCAAAGTGCGAGCGGGGATGGTTTCGATATCAGCCGCGAGAAATAGCAGACCAAATTTGACATATTTCACCTCCCAGTTCTCGCCTCGTTCCAAAACAGTGCAGCTGAGATAGTCCTCCAACGGCATGCTAAACACATTGGGAAACATCCAATGAGAGCGTCCGCTGACAACATGGGCCAGGCTCTTGTACATGTGGTCAATCGTAATCCCACCCGTTGGATCTGGTTGGACTGGCAAGCTCTGCCCCGACAACATGGCGGGTATCAACGAGAAATCTTTGGCGCCCGCAGGTTGAAGAGTGCAACCGTCGCAGAGTGGATGCTCGCACTCTTCCTGTTGGAGCGCCATTGCTTGATCCACACGTTGCAGGTTGCTCGTGAATCGTTCATATATTGTTTTCAAATCGGCACAAGCACCTCTGTGCCCAGTTTTCCAGCTCTGCTTTTGGCACTCCTTCGAACAATAGCGAGCAGCCGCACAGAGTGTGCATTTGTAAGCTTTGGCATGCTGTCCGCACTCCCAGCATTGCTGACGGATTGTATCCCGTCCTTTTTTCACTCCTCGAGCCGAAGCTTCCAGTTTCTTGTCGAGGCCTTCCAAGCTTTTAGTATAGGCGATATCACAACACAAATGTTCCAGGCTGAAGTTCTTGTTGCGGTAAATGATTTCAGCACAAATGGTGATAAACACTATGTGAGGCGCATTGTAACGCAGATTTCACTCAGAAGCCGTTTGAATTCTGCTTCAATGACAGGTTTCCACTTTTCACAGGCGCGTTGATAGGCTGGGTAGACGACGAAGAAAATCAAGTTGCAGTCTCCAATGTCAGTGATAGCCGGACCGTCCATGCTAAACTGATTTTGAACCTTGTCTCGCCAATCTTGGCTGCCAAAAAAAATCGTGAGCAAAAGCATGTTGCAAACGAGTGTTATTGCCACAAGCCATGCGGCATAGATCACACAGCAAATCGTCGCCCCCTGTCATGATATTCAACTCTTGAACTCTTTTGATAGGAGCGTTGCCGCCTTTGAGGCGATCCGGCAAATGTTTGCTTAGTTGTGCCAATAGGCTTTCTGCGGTTGCTTTCTCCACAACCTTGGCAAGTTCCTTTGGTTTCATGCGTCCCTCGCGGATGGCATTGGCCACAGCTGGTAGTTTCTTGGAGAGCGTCCAAGCGTCCATCTTGGGCCCATTATGGATGTTCTCAGCGGTCGCCTCCTCCTTTTTGGAAGACTTCTTCTCCTTATTTTTGCTTGTGCGCTTCTTCGAGGGCATGGTGCAGCAGTGGAAATGGCAAAGGCAATAGGAAGTTAGTAGCTATCCAAACCAAAAGGCAAGGATTGTCTGCTGCTATGATGAGAGAAGAGAGCGATATGCTGTTTTGTCATTGTTTTTGGTTTGGAGGGAACCACGTCTCAGGTTAACCCTAAGAGACAAAGAGAGGATAAATGTGACAGTTAAGTCTTGGAAACGTCCTTTGAAAACATTAGCTTTTCAAACCAAAACCAAACGGTGAAGGGACCAAGCACCCAAGAGAAAACACCCTCAAAGGAAGGAACAAAAGCAAGCTGAGAAAGTCGGAACAATGGACCTGGATGATGGCAACAACTCGGACCAGCCGCGTCCGAAGCAGCGCAGACGTCGTCGTCGCTCTTCGGCACGGTTCCTTAGGTTGACTGGTCGGTTGATGGAAGACATTGATGAAGTGGAGGAAGAAGCCGAAGAAGACAATGTCGTCGAGTCCGATCAGCATCTGGGTGACATGTACAAGCGAGCCATTCGGATGAATGCCGAAAATCGCATCAATGCCAGCAATAGTTGGAATCTGCGTTTGATTGAGAATATCGACAAGTTTCTAGGTGAAGATCAAGAAGAGAAAACAGCCGACATTGACGAAGAGAACGTGGACCCCAACGTCCCCACCACTTCACGGAACAAGGAGAAACGTGTGAATTTCACCAAGGCGAGTTGCACTCTAGATGCCTCGGTCAAAATCTACTCGTACCGTGTGGATGATGTTCATTTGTCTTCCTACAAGGTACTCGCCAATCTCAACAGAACTGAAAACGAGGAGTCCTCCAAAAACAAGAAGAAGCAATCCAACCAATCGGAAGCCACGCAGTCCAACAGCGACAGTGCTGAAGATGACAATGATCAAGAGGCTGCATCATCAGGCCGATCCAATAAAAGCTCTGGTAGCACGTTGGAGACCAATGTTGGTAAGATTGAAGGCAACCACACTGCGTCTTTTGGCAAATCAGTCCCTCACTTGTTCTTTTTATAAATGCAACTTTTGTGGTACCGTAGCGAATATCAACATGAACAAGCACGATTCTGCATTTGACATCGATCCCTTGTTTCACAAAATGTCCAAAACATTTGACGAAGGTGGCGCAAAGGGTCTGCTCTTGGTCAACTTGGGCGTGGGCGACAATGGATGCAACATTGTCTTTGACTCCAAAGCAGAATCCAACGAAGATGGAGCCGAACAGGACTCTTCGGCCTCTGATGATCAACAAGAATCCACAAGGCAAGAAGGAATGGTCGACATTTCTTCACTTGTTGGAAAGCTACGTGACATTGAGGAGACAACTTCAACATCCATCGAGTCCATGACTTTGGTGCCTCAATTGGCTTTCTTGAGGGAACAGTTTGCCGAGCTCAAGCAAGAGGGATTCGTAGACACAACAAACAAAGCATCCAGGCGGTACGCAAGTACACAGGAGGAGGAAAATGAAGCCGACATGTCCATTCACCAGGAAGCCATGGAACGAAGCAGGCGTTCCAGCATGGGGCGTTCCTTTGCAACGGAGGAGGAGCAGGACGACGACGACGGAGCCCCAATGTTTGCACCTGATGACTTTGGTGGTGGAGATGATGATGACGACGACGATCATGAAGATGGCGTAGGATTTGAGCCTTTTATACACCTCGATGAAAGCCAAAGCGAAGGACGATTCTCAGCCCTCAGCTTTCGAGACTCCTACAGTTCTACCAGCCAACAGGATAAGAGGCAGTCCCAAGCAGACGTTATGCTTGATGCGATTTGTTCTGGAAAGAGCTTGGGGGCTGGAGAGTACGAGTTCTTTGATACGCAAGCTTTGGAAACGTCCATGTCGGGCAACCTTTGGGCTGGTTCAGCACACTGGAAACGAACCGAGCCAGCTCGTAAGAGAAAAGAAGACACGGCAACGAAAGGGAAGAAGAAGAAAACTACGAAATCCAAGAAAGGCAAGAAGAAAAACGACAACTTCGCTGTAGACCTGACAGCTAAGGTTGTCGTGGAAGATCTGCTGCGAAAACCACCCAAGGGAAAGCGAGGATCCAATCCCTTGCAGCTTTCGAAAGCAGTTGTTACCAAGCACACCAAGATCGACAATCTACTACCTCCTGACTCGGGAATCGGCATCGACACTCTTGCTGGACTGTTTCTCAGGCCAAACACTGTCATGCAACCTGCTGTTTCCAACGATAGCAGCAAAGGATCCAAACCGCGCAAGTCGGTGTGTTTTGACACAACAGCCAACGAAATGTTTGGAGGCATGGCTATGGACGACGACGACGGATTTGGTGATGGTGACGACGACGGTGGTGGCTTTGTCTTTGCAGACGATGCCAACGATGACGATGACTTTGTGTCCGAAGAGCTCAAGCGGATTAGAAAAGTCGATACCAAGAGTGTCCAAGTGGGTTATGCTACGATAGCCAAGAAAGTGGATGTGCGTCGTCTCAAGCGCGACCTATGGACTGAGATTGAGACGCAGATTGATCCCAATGAAACCGCAGACAGGGAATCCATGGAAGTGTCTTCGCTGCAGGATGGGTTGTCGTTCCAAGAAGCGGTCAATGACCTGGAGGAATCAAAGACACAAGGTGACGTTACTCTTCCGTTCTATTTTATCTGCGTTCTTCATTTGGCAAATGAGAAAGGCCTTCGCCTCGAGTCTTCTGGATTGAATGATTTTGTCATCCACAATGATGCCGACGTCACGAAACCATCAGTTTAGTGGGTGCTTGGCGGGGCAACGACGACTGTCGCCTTCGGTGAGTGCCTGGCCTGGCAATTGTGATGGGGTGTAGAAAGTACTAGTAGATACTAGAAGGCCAGCAGGTAGCGTAAAGTATAGTGCTGGATTGGTTCTTTGTTCTTCCCCGTGCAACCACCAGGTACGGTACTACGTACAGTAGTCAAAGCAATCATTGTCTACACAAATTAGGATCACAACCAACAGCCTGAGAAAGTACCAGTATGTACCGGTCCCTTCATCGTTACTCCTCCGTCAAAACAATCATTTGTCGCGAAAAGCTGTTCAAATCCTTGCGTTCAAACAGTTTTTTCATCCAAAACTCGGAAGAACTCCATGGCCCCAAGAAGAAATCATTGTCTGGAGTGAAGAAGGCATGTCCGCGGCGTCCACAACCACCTTCTATCTCAAAGATTTTCTTGGGAGGATCGTTGTGCTGGTCAGCCCGAATATCATACACTAGCAGAGCTCCTTCTTCGTCGTATTTTTCATTGTTTCGCACGGTGAGGATTTCTCCACCAGTGCTCAAACTCAGTGTGAGGCCACTATAGTCAGAGATTGAATTCCAAGTCTCCACCGTAATCTTGTGGCGTGGAACAATGTCCGACGATGGGGTGATATCATAGACCGTGACACAAGCTTGTTCGTCTTCATTGTCAAACTCAATATTGGGAAGATGCGTCACTGTAGCAAACACTTTTCCATTCCCAGAGCGGCATGTGCTACCAAACTCAACATAATCATAGATACCCAACCATTCGCCATGCAGTGGCTCTAGTATTCGTGTGGCAATGGACGGATGGAACTCCGGGATTGAAGACTGATCCTCCGCTTGGATGAGGATGTCATTGTAGAGAATCCCCCACAGTTCTTTTCGGGTGAATGCATCTTCCGAGTCATAACCGTGGTTGATGCCGTCATTGTTGTTGTCGCCGACAAAAGACTTGACCATTGCAACGATCAACAAAGACAATTTACCGGTGGTGCCAGGCAGGAGACTGCGGTGCGCAATGCGTATATTGTTCTTTGAAATTTGTTGCAATTCTGTAGGCCAATGCAAGGTGGCGCTTTGTTTCTGTAGGCCATCGGCCAGCCATTCCAAATCCCAGGTCGCAGTAGCACTGTCATTCGATTGATGAATCTGTTCGTCCAACAGATATGGTCTGAACTTATGATTCCGACCGTAGTTTCCCCATCCCTTTGTTTCTTCGGCACCTGAATGGTGTAGCCAGGGATTCATTTTCTGGTAGTATGGCGGAGCAACATTGCTGGATGTTTCCGAGGAAAAAACTGTTGGTGGGGAATCAGTGGTCAATTGGAGTTTTGCTACTGGAAAGGGAGTGTGCAATCGTAGGGTGTAGGATTCCAGAGCGGCCTTTCTACCAGCCTTGCTGAGAGCGGCAATGGCAGCCAGTGAACCACAGGGAAGGAATGGAATGGCAAACTGCAATTCCAGTGGCAGTTGATTCAGTTCCTTGTTCTGGGGATCTATACGAGCCTTCTTCGAATTGGATCCTTCATCTGATTCTTCTATGGTTCGAGAAGATGTCTTCTTCTTTGACTCTTCCATGATGCTTTCACTACAGTAATAACTCCCAAGGACTTGTCCTTCTTCCAAACGATGTGCATGCTGGGCGGGAGGTTCATGTTGCGGGAAACTCGTGCCTGAGGAAAAGATACGATCAGATCTCACCCAGTCCCGAACTTACGGGACGGGTCCGTGCGTCAGCCGTCATTGCAGCAGCGGCAATGGCACAAAAGCCAACATCAGCAGCCGTCGTTCTCATTCGGTTGTAGCTGACTTCATCTTTGCGTTCTTTGCTTGGTTTTTAGTTGGTTGGTTAGTTGGTTAACCATGGGCTTCATATCAGGAATGATCGGAGCGGGTGTCTTTGTTGGACTGCAAGTCAGGTCCAACGCCATGATGAAGATTCCTTTGAGTCGAGACCCTTGGCTTCATGTGACGTACGGCATCATCGGCTTTGCGGTTGGAAATTGGTATCCCAAGGCCGAGAAGCAGTTGCTGTTGGATATTAACGAGATTCGTGCAGACCGTGGTCTTCCTCCGCTCGTTGGTTCCAACAATTGGATCCGATACCAGCGCCCCGACGGAGAAGTTGCTCCCTTGTGGAATACCAACGCCAGGATCCCAGAGAGTGAATATCCCAAATGGAGATACTAGGAAGCGAACTTGCACCAATTGTCAGTGCATTCCAAATCAATCATTTAATTTATGGAATTTAATTAAGCAAACAGTCTACATCGAAAGCCTGGATGTACTACATGTATGTATTAATATAGCTAGTTTATCACCTTGAAGTTTGACAGCAGGTAGCCATTAGCTCGGAATGCAGGGGCTTCATCTTTCTGCTGCTTCGGTAGACTACAACAGTTGCAATTGGAAGGCAGCTGCTGCAATCTCCCAGGCAAAATCTTCAAAGAATCTACCAGTACATGTATGCTAGTCTCTGCCCCCAACTTGTAATCCCAGCAGACGCATAGATAGTTGTGTACTAGACTGTACCACCGTCATTAGAGCATAAAAGTCGGTGAAGGGTCTATCGGCACGGGACACTACTGTATATGAAGGGGGTTGGTGCTGATGCCAAAAGGCGCATTTTTCCTTCGCGACCAGGCTAGTTGTTACTAGACAGAAAATAGCTTTTCCGGCCACCATTACTGAAAGAAGCTTGGATGCAACCTACCGCTATACACAGTGTACCCCGCCCATAGACCGCAAAGATCTGGTCGAAGGTGGCTGTTCCCCAAGTCTGAAACGTCTTGCCAGCTATTGTAGAGTCATTTGCAGGGAAACATTGAGATTGAAACAGTCCTTTGGGTTCCTGTCTCTAAATCAGGCTGGAATCGTTGTCACATGCATACTATAGAGGTAAAATTTAAGAATGGCCTGTCTATTTAGTTTCCACCATCACCACCGTCAATGTTGCTCTCACTTGTTGGGATACCTCCCCCGAATATACCAAGATCGATGCCTGTCGAAACTCCATTGCACATACTGAAAGCACTCGCTCCGAGACCAATACCCGATCCAAATGTAAACTCATTGTAAACAAATGGGGGTTCGGTCAACAAACAGACGCCCAGGCCATATCCCAGCGCCAAACCGACACCGACATCGACGCCGTACATGGAGGACAGACATGTGATATCATTCGCCTCCGTAGTTTCGGCGACTATCGTGACCAGAGACAGTTCTGCACCAACGACGGGACCGACTCCCATGCACCCTTTGGCAAACACAGGGGGAGTGCCCGAAGGATCAAACATGTCCCAAAACAAGGTAATGGATCCTTCCACTAGGGCCCCAGCTTCCACATGGAAACCAGCAAAGATGGTTTGTGGTGGGATGAACGTGGGGGACTCACTAGGAATGGAACTGGGTCTTGAACTTGGCGCCATACTTCTTGGAAAGGTTGGCTGAGGATTGGGAGGACCAATCGGGGCACCAACCGGAGGCGTTCCAATGGGAGGACCGGTAGGGGGGCCCTGTCGTCCAACTGGTTCCTCAGATGACTCAGCTGAGCATCGGGACACAATGGAGCCGAATCGAGAAAATGTGCCGACATGATGTTGCATTGCCCGAATAAGAGAGCGGACTGACCCATTCTTGAAGATTGTCTCGTCATTTTGACTTGCCACAGACGCTTGGAAAATGTCCTCTTCTCTCACGTTCGCCTCCCTCAAAATTTGCATCTTAAAGTCTTGAGAATTGAACTCTTCTTGGAACTTTCGTAGTTCTTGTGAAAGACAAGATGTCTGGGGAATGCATCTTTTGAATACGCCAGTTTGGGCACATTCTAAGCCTTCAATACAAGGATTATTGTCTCCACAACGTTCGCCCTCCAGCTTTAGGTCTTCATCATTCAATTTACGAGCACTAGTCACTGCAAGCGACGACAACAGCAAAAGTCCTAGCAACCGCATCATGGTGGACAACCTGTCAGTGCAACGGTTGAGTGGTGAACACAGACAAGGCGGACGAAGAGAGCTACGACTGTAAGGAAGAGAGTGGTTGCCGGGCCCTTTTCTAAGCACCATCGCACAAATCCGAAAGCTCTATTCACCAAAACGCCGGGTCAAACTTTTCATCTAAGTATCCAAAGTCTCGCGCGGGTTGACGGTGTGACGGGTACAACTCTTGAGGTTAAGGATACAGACTATTGTACCAAAGCCGGCTCTTGCATCTTTCATACTTTTAGGCAGCTTTGCCCGGATTACTACTAGCTAGCTAGCTAGCTAGCTACCGGTAGCTTAGGCAGCTCAAAAGGCTATTGACATATCCAAAGATTGAGCGCCTTCAGACACTGAAATAGAAATTTGGGAGACAATCCTCCCAGGACTGTTCACAGTGTACAACGATTTGCCCCGTTTAAGTCCCACACGGGAAGGTTGTTGGCATCAATACTGGTTTTGGTGACTGTCACCATGCAATAGTCACACCAGTACGGTACTCAGCTGGACCTCTACTAGCAGAGAAAACATAGCTGCTCTATCTATTAGCCTTAGCCAGAACGCCTACATTTTTAAAATTTCCCACTCATACCGGTACTTGGATGTCCAATTGTGGCCGTTGATGGGGACGTTGCTAAGTCCTCCGTGACGATCCCAAACAGTTTAGCTGGCTCAAAAAAGAGCTCCTTTTTTGCTACGGGCTTCGGCCTTTGCAAAGGTCGAGTCGAGTCGAGTGATAGTTCTCCTGTTGTTGCGTTGTGGCTCCAAACTTGTGACAATCGCCATGATTACAGCTGCCGCTACGGCGAAGCGTCCAATGGACCAACAAGCTAGGATTGTCGGAGGATCGAGACGTCGGCTTGACGATTCCGAAATTGCTCCGGAAGACGTTCCACCGCAATGCGAGTCACAAGAAGAGAAAAACTACGAAGACGATGATGAGGAGGAGAACGACGACGTCGATGTCGTTTTCGAGCGCTCCGTCTCTATTACCGCGAATAGAGGGGTGTACAAAATCTGCTCGACTCTTTCGAGAACGTACTCGCATGATTTTTTTGTTTGGGGTGTGGACGCGAAAGTCTCCTTTCAACCAACAAACTCCAGCTCAACATCGCGGAGCGATCCAGCTACGAAAGTTGGATCTCTCGAAGGATACCTACTTCGATGTACTAAGGGCGTCCACTTTGTAGCCGATTCAGTTCGAGATGAAACGGTGGAGCTGGCCACGATGTTTTGCGAACGGAATGGTGCTATCACTCGAGTCGAAACAGGAATCGATGATGACGATGTCTACGGAAACTTGATTCATATTTACACCGTCGAGGTCGAAGAAGAGCACAGAGGGAAATGCGACTTGGGCCTGCACTTGGTGCATCACACGCTCGAATTCCTTCAAAGCTTGAAGCAGCATGACACGTCGCAAGAGCTTCGCGAAAGAGCGGCCAACGCCAAAGACAATGATTCAAAACAGTTCTATCAAAGACTCAAATCTTGCATGCCCCAAGAGCGCTGGGGTTGGGCCATTGCTCTCATGGTACCGAATGTGGGCTCAACGGCTGCCGATGAGACAAGTCTACAGCGACACTTTGCCAGGATGGGTTTCCGTCAAACTGGAAAAAACGTTGACCAGTGGCTTGCCTTTTACCTCACAGCGTCGCAGTTTGCCAGTAGTCGTGATGGAAGTATACCTGAAACTACGTGGAAGACCAAGGCAGAAAGCGAACAGATCAATCTGTTTGTCCCTCCCAAGTACGAGGCAACTGGGGCCGACAAGGAGCTGCGAGACTTCGTTTCCACCGGTGGCGCCGCCACGAACTTGGTCCGCTCCCATCGCGTTCAGGAAGTGATCACAATCATACGCTACATTCTTGCAAACCGCGGTGCAAGTATTCACGGCGCACGTGCACTGCATGCGGCTGCGGCCCGGGATTCTTACAACGCGGAGTTTCTTCAAATCCTTGCCAACCTTGGTGGTGATGTGAATGCCGCTGATGAAAATGGAGATACGCCTCTTCACGTGGCGGCATCGATGAAAGATCCCGAGACCATCGCGTATTTGATTCGACTGGGAGCTAGCAAAATGTCATTGAACACGACGCGGGAGAGTCCTCTTGACACGTTGAGCAAGTCTGTCAGAAACGAACTCGATATGTTTTGCATGTTTGATTTGCCCCAATCTGTCTCACAGATCTTGAAACGTCACCGCGCCAACGTGCTTCTCATGGCATCACAACTCCCTCCGCTTCTGATTGACGGCTGGCTCCCTCCGCGGATGAGATACATGTTGTCCGTAACAGCCGAGGACGAAGCGATGTTGATTGACGACGATTCCAGAAGCTTTGAATCTCGAAAGCCAATGCCCCTTGACTCTGTTTTTCGAGAATTCTTTCGTGGGATTCGGAAATCAGATTTCTTCCCTCCAGATGTCCTTCATCAGAACCCTGGCGGGTTGTACAAGAGCTTCTGTGACGGCTGGGGAGATATATGGCAGGCGATCACTTCACTCCTGAACAACAACCAGGCACCAACTGTTCAACGTATCTACCAGGAAATTGAGATGTACGGCCACTGGAAGTATGACAAGAACAAGTTCCAGTATTTCCTGGAGAAGGGTGGTAAGGTTGAGCACGCATTGGATGCATTAATCATCTCCACCATAGATCTTGTTGAGAACGGCGACGGATTCTATGACTACGACAAGAATGATGTTGAGGCACTTCCCAAGACAACGCTTGATGTTGACTACGACCTAGCTCGCGTAAAGCTCATTGGTCTGCAAGAAGGTGGCGAGGTTTTGTCAATGGGACCGTACGAGCACCGCTTCGATACAAATGGAAGATACCAAAACAATTGAATCTGTGACTGTGGTGGTTGCTACTAGTGGAGGGGCCAACGATGCAAGAGCCCAGTTTTGCACTGGCGTAGTAGGGTACCGGTATGATGAGATGACGATGCCCGACGATACCTTCTTGATTGACGATTCAATTCGGTAGAACATTGATCAGCTCTAGTAAATACGTTTTTGTGTGAGAAGTACCGCGCCCATGCAATCAATCAAACAATTTCAAGATTCCTCGTGGTGCGCTGTGTAGGCACTCCTCACCCAGAGCCATTTCAAGGCATTCCGAAGGATCAACCGCCCTGAACCTTGCATAGCCACTCCCAGCGTCGACACCAGCAAAGCTAAAAAGTGAGTTTGAAGTTCCTTAGTCAACTGCCTGCATCCAAACGGCTGCTTCGCGTATCGGTACAGTACCGGTACCGGTACCATACCTTGGCCCAACAATTTGTTGATTGTATCCACTTGGTCCCAGACCACACTGGTCAATCGTGGTCACAAAGACGGTTGCCAGGTCTGGATTGTCGCCACAGTGAGAGCCGCTTCCTTCTGTCGGGAGTCCGTAGTGGGTTCCATGCTGGGGCACTTCTTGTGACACTTTCTGTGGGAGCGCCAGCGGGAGCGCCCGTGCGGTCCTCCTCGTTGCCTTATTCGTTGGAGCAATATTCATCCCCCTTTCCACACCAGACATGATCAGAGCAACACGAGCTCCAAAAGCTCGCATCAGTGCACAAACCATTCCTCGTTGGCCTCCGCCACAAGTACCTTCCCCAGCCTGATAACAGAATGGTTCATTCAACGAGCCCTCAACACTACCGTACTCCTGAAAACAGCTAGTTGGCTGTCGGCAGGACGAAGTCGGGTTCAAGCTACTGTAGTACCGGTACATAGTGAAGTCTGGCACAATCAGAGACAAAATCATACTCGCCATGCAATATTATCTTCAATTCTTCACTTTGTCAGGAGAGCCTCGAGATCTTTTCTCAGTCATCAAATCCTAAATTCTGGAACATTTCAGCAAGATTTTCTTCTCCAGGCAAGTCTCTGACCAAGGGTTCCCTATCATTGGCAATTATCACTGGCCTATGTGGGAAACGCTGTGTCATGTAGGCTGTCAGCTCCTCCATGCCTTGCTGATACCCATCTCCTAGCGGGATGATGCGGCCGCCAACTCTACAACAGGTACTGCGGGAAACTTCGCTTCCTGGAGGAATACCCCTTTCTCTTGGACAGCAGTTTTTCCAATGAAACCTTCTCTGTCCAGCCTTTGCACATTTGAAACATTCCTGTGGGGCTTTCTTGTTTGTCACATATACCCTTCCACGAGATGAAACGTAGTACCACCTGAGGCTCTCCTCCTCATCGCTCGAGTAACCCTCCTCATCATCATCACTTGCGTATCTCACCTCCTCTTCATCACTTGAGGAATTCTGTTCTTTTTCGTCTTCATCTTCGCTTGCAATGGTGGTGTCCAACTCAGGAGTATCGCCTTTCGCCGCTTCTTCATTGTTGGCACATGTTGCATTCACTTGGTTCTGGTTTGTCTCGGCGTGCTCCTGCTGCTCTGCTTGTTCCTGCTGTTGAGAGACTTGCCTGTTGATCATTGATACAATGCTATCCACGAGGCAATCATACGCGCCAGGGTTGAGCCTGTCAAGTCCTTGTGCCGCCAGTAGAGATTCCACAGATGCTCTCAAGGCCTGGGACGATTCTGTGGCCTCAGTACAGGTACTATCATCGTCGTGCTCACGCGTCAGAACCATTCTGATCTTTACCGGTACCTACCATACCTTTGTCAAACATTATGGAGGGACATCCTGCCAGAGAAAAGGATTCAAGTTTTCGTGAGAAGATGGCTCTGGTTGTAGAAGATACAGATTTTCGTGTGAATTCCACAACCAAGCGAGTGGCGTGAAGCCCCAATGTGGTACAGTCGTATCGGTAGCTAACGAAGAGGCTAGGAGGTCTAATCACGCAGCTTTTGTAGAGCTATGTCATAGCTAGAGGGTGCACTACGGTGTACTAGCTAGTACAGTGTGTAGCGGACTTGGTACATGTATGATACTGGTACGTCGGAGAAAAGAAGATTTCAAGTAGGTCCTGCGCACATACCAGTCGCGTCATGTACCGGTACCAGCAGACTTCAGTCCCAGTAGAGTAAAGTATGCCAAGTAAGTGTTGAACGCGCATTCTGTGAAGAGGAAGACACGATTTTCTCTGAGGACGACTCGACTCGAGGGTCTCAAAAGACGGAGTGATTATCTAGTCGCTAGCCTTGGGTTGGTTGACTGTCAATGATGTGATCAGGCAGCTTTTTGTATGGGCCGCTGGCTTGGTCGCAAGCTCCCTACTAACGGACCGCTCTTGCAAGAGTCCATCGACCCTCCGTTGTTGTAAAGGGCAAAGTATGCATTCTTATATTAATTAAAATACAGAACCTGTCCTTTTCCCATAGACAGTAGTCGATTTCATTTTCGATACTAGCTCGTCCACTCCCCAACCATGAACGACAACCTGCTCTCTGCTCTATGGGAGACTCACCCGGAAATTCTGTTCTTGGCAGAAAACTAAGCTAGCTACGATGGAGGGACGAGGCCTTCTTATTCCTTGGCTGTGGATCGCAAATCCATTGGAAGGAGCTTCTCTATCGCGTTTTGGCAACCGAGGAACGATGCCGTACATTGCTGGACAGTGAAAGTGATCGAGGAAGTGCTCTATTAGGCCTTCTCTTCTTCGGAATTTCCCGCTATTAATAGCTAGTAGAGTTGGTCGCGCTGTCTGCATGGTCCAGCAACACACCAAGTCAAGCCAGACCGAATGGCCAAAGCAGATGCATAGCAGGAGAACAAGCGGAACTTGGCATTTCACCACGAAGTTGATGCTTGCCATAACTGCATCCCAAGAGCAGAACACAGTGTGGTGACAGGAGAAGAAGTATTCGGGCATGAACCGTCGCTCCTGGTAGACTATCGACGCTGGCTATTAGTAGGAGTATTTGGGCACTCTGAATGAAGCTATGTGACGGTACCAGGAACTGGCATCGGTACTGTATCAGCTGCTGGCTGGCAAGAGAGAAGAACCCAGCGAGCAAGCGATTCCATTACTGGCTTTGATGGTTGACAATTACCAGAAGCCCTCTACAAAACGAGCACAGACATTCGGTGGCTACGGGGAGGAGCCAGTGTCGCAATTTGCCTGTAGAGCATAGGTTCAAGATTTGCTTGATTGAGTTCCTGCCTTGAGGACGCCGATGATGGTATGGCACGCAGCCACATCTCGCTCTGGGCCTGGAATAAAAGGATACTCGAGTACCTGTACAACATGCACAATCACCGCAGCAAGACTTGGTCTGCTCTGTGGCTGGTAGAAAAGGTGGTGGTTGCCGGTAGGTTCCGTGTTCCGTGAAGCGCAACATAAATGTATTAGTGCTAGTACTTATTACGGTACATGTAGGAGCTACAGTATGCATACTGGTGAGCTGTACAGGAAGGCACCAGGTTCTCTCAATAGTCAATAGTCGTTCTAAAGTCGCGAAAGTCGTTCTAAAGTCGCGCACCGCGACTTTATCGCGACTTTTCACCGCGACTAGAACGACTTTCGCGACTTTAGAACGACTTTAGGACGACTTTGCTTGTAAATAACTAGTATTTTACCGCGACTTTACCGCGACTATATCGCGACTATTTGGATTCAAATTAAAGTCGCGCACGACTATACGGCGACTTTTAGCGCGACATTAGCGCGACTATCGCGACTTTTTTGGCGAAGCGGGTAAAACCTGGTGCCTTCCAGCTGCTGCACCTTTGATTCTTTGCTCGTATCTACGTACCGGTATCAACGATCGAGGGCCATTGCAGGCCCGAACAAGGCATGCGCACATGCGCACTGGTATGTAAAAGAAGCGGGGTTCTTTCGTTCTTTCGCTGGAGCTGCTGGTCTCTGGTGAAGCCTTTTTGCGTGTTGCGTACCGAGTGCAGACCAAGAAGCCTTTTTAGTCTCCCCCAACACACAATGATTTAACGCAACTTCACAAGGGTCTTTCTATTCTGTCAGATCGGTTGAAGCTTGCATGCTGGTTATTCCATCTTGCACACTGGTAACAAACTGTAGGAGAGGTTGCCAAAGCATCATGCCGACATGCCAACCACTGAGTATTTGTATCTATCTTGCAATTGTCAGGTCCAGCACACAGCAGCAACCAACCAGCGGTATCAACAGCTGGATCAACCACGCGAAGAATAGGAAGCTTCAAGTAGTCTCCAAGCCTTCTCACAATTTAACCCAACACCAAACCAAAAAACACTCAACTCGAACCAAACCAACTTTCTTCTTTCTCATCATCTCACCACACCATGACTAAACAAACTTCATCGTCTTCCATGCTGGAACAACAAAGGAAGCGCGTTACCTTCGGAAGCAACTCAGCCTCCGAGGCTCCTGAGCTCTACGCCCTCGATGCTGAGCAGTGCGAAGTCCTGTGGTTTTCCAGAGCAGAGCTTGCCAAAGTTTATGTGAGCTTGCGAAAAACACTCCGAAAGAAGGGGACGCTGGATGAGTCGAGGTATACCCGCCGGGGCTTGGAACAAATGCTCAACAAGGGACTTCCGGAAATTCGAAAGAACTCTGTCCAAGCAATCTTGCAAATACAAGCGGCGCATAAAAAGCGAAACGACAGCAGCATGGGTGATGTGTCGCAGAGTCTGGCAGCAATTTCCATGGAGCTGAACAGGGATTCTGTGAGCAGGGGCATCCTGTTGGGCGCTAGGGATATGGCAGAAGCACGTCGCGTCTACGCAGTGTCTTCCATGACCATGAACTCTGCCAAGATCGCTGACTGCTACAGCACCCCCACTGCCACGACTGCTGCTGCTGCTTCTGCTGCTGCATGTGAAGCACGTTGTGACGCCATTGAGCAGCGAACAGCAACCGCTGCGAGATCTGCATAACTGTTTTGAAGCTAGCTAGCTAGACGACACTCTTTTCCTCCTTTTCTCATCGATCTTGATGTACCATGCTGTAGTTTTGACGCTTTTTCGGCATAAGATCATCTAGTTTTGGGTATGTAGATCCCACCTCTCCCATTTCTTTGATACTGCGGGCTCTTTGCATTTCCCATGGCGGCAAAGCATGCTCTGCACCAGCTGGGCTTCATCTTAGAAATCAGCCAACTCTTCATATTGGCAGCACAAGGAAATCAACGATGGGTCAAGATTGAAATCGCTGTCAATTGAGAATGCTCTTGACACTGATTTGGAGAATGGCACTTGTGTGCCCGGTGGCATGGTTCCAGATCCTCTACTAGCTGGTAGGGATGAAGCTGTGCGGGTCAGATTTCTGATCCAGCTGCAACTCCATCAAATGATCTGCTTATTCCTTGAGCAAGTTCACCCCGGGTTGCAGCATACTCATTTTTGTTGATAGTTCACTCAATACCCGGACTATCGGTACTAGTTCAACGATAATGAAGTAAGCGTTGGCAAAGTTGGCAACTAGCTAGTATTCCGCAGAGAATGCAAAAACTATAGCAGCTTAGCAACAGCTAGGCTTTATTGCGATCATGCATTCGTTTCACGCTCTCTTCCACTCGTTTGTGGGTTGCTTCGGCCGTGTGCTTCTTGTACTCTTCGAAATCACCACGGAAACGAGTGGCGTGACCCTGCTCAATAACCCACAGCTCGGAGCAAGTTTTTTGGACAAAGTATTGGTCGTGACTGACCACCATCAAGCCGCCCTTGAAGTCTTGAACAGCCTCCACCAATGCATCCACCGCCTCCATACTCAAGTGATTGGAACCCTCATCAATGATCAAGACGTGAGGCTTTTTGTACGCCAGAGCAGCAAAGGCGACGCGGCTCTTTTGACCTCCACTGAGGAACCGCATTGGCTTCATGGCATCATTGCCTTGGATTTGGAACTTGCCGAGGAAGCTGCGCATAACCTGGTCGTCCACATTGTCCTCCTCAAACATATTCAGCAGGTTCTCGAGGGCCGAGATGGTGAGGTCAAAGTTGTCCGAGCTGTGTTGCGTGAAATGACCAATGCGAAGCCCAGGGTTGATGGATACGCCTCCCTTGACAGCCTTGAGTTTCCCCATGATCAAGTTCAACAGAGTGGTCTTTCCTTGTCCGTTGGCTCCCAAAATGGCAATCTTGGACGTCAAATCCACTCCAAAGTTCACCTGCTGCAACAGGTATTCCTCGTGCTTTTTTGTTTGCGGATTGTAGTCAAAGGAAACGTCATCTACGGAAATGATGGGTCGCCCCAGAGGCTCTGAATTGGGAATGTGAAATCGCCAAACCTGTTCTTGTTCTACCGGCTCGGGCGCCTCGGCATCCATCTTTTCCACGGCCTTGATGCGACTCTGCACCATTGTGGCACGCTTGGCATTGGCCCGAAACTTGGTGATGAAATCCATCATGTGCTCTCGCTTTTCATGGTAGGCCTGATAAACCCTTTGCGCATTCTTGATATTGGAGTCTCTCAATTTGACGTATGTATCATAGTTACCTCGATAGTATGTCAGTTGTTTCTTTTTGAATTCCATAATATCCGTGCAGACTTCATTTAGGAAGCCTCTGTCATGACTGACGACAATCAATGTGTGTTTGTAGTCTTGCATGTAGCTTTCAAGCCAGAGAACCGCCTCTAAATCCAAGTGATTGGTTGGCTCATCGAGCAAACAGAGATCAGGTTCTACAAAGAGCGCGGCTATAGTAGAGAAAGAGAAAAGTGTGAGAAAACGATATGGGCGCTGCAGGTGGGTGACAAAACTGAACCAACCAATCAACCAACTAGTAACTAACCTGCCAGCGCCACTCGCATTTGCCACCCTCCACTCAAACTGGAAATGGGCGATGTTTGCATCTCTGTCGTGAATTGTAGCCCGGACAAGATCATGGCGGCTTTGGCTTCGGCAGAGTCCGATCCCAGACCCTGTAACCGCTGGTAAATTTCATCCAATTCTTTGAGATCCTTTTCAAATTGCTCACCCGCTTTATTTCCGGCTTGTAGTTTTTCCCGTTTGGCGGCTAGCGACAGTGCTTCAGTGTTCGAGCTATTGTTGTTGCTGTCGTCACCTTCTAATTTGGCTTCGAGTTCCTTTTCTCGTTCCAGCAGCATTTTGCGTTCGATGTCGGCATCAATGACGGCTTGCAAGACCGAGACATCGTCAGTGAGTTTTGGAATTTCTTGTCTGACGTGAAGGACACGTAAATGTTTGGGAAAACCCGGAATGGCGTCTTCTTTGGCAATGGCTTTGAGTAGTGTTGTTTTTCCCACTCCATTCTCTCCAATGAGCCCGTATCTTCGTTGATAGGCAAATTTGAGTTCTCCTCCATCGAGGAGTACGGTTCCATTGTCCAGACTGACCGTGACATTTCGAACCTGTACATCCTTGGCCTTGTTTTTGGTAATATTGTTGGTTCGAAATGCCGAAACGGACATGCTGACGAGGGATTTGGGTCCTTTGTCGTCTTCCGATGCATTGGCGGCTTCCAGTGACCGCCGTGCAGCTTCTAGTTCTTGTCGTTGTTTTCGTTTTTCCTTTGCCGACGTCTTGTCGGTATGCGCATCAATGAGTTGATTGGCCGATGGCTTGACCCCCGACGAAGTTCCCCACAAGTACCGATTGGCATCTTCATCGGCCGAACTGCCAGGATTACTCAGATCCGACGCCATGTTGACAATGCCCTGTTTCAATTTGCGAGTTGTCGTGCCTTCAGTGACAGCCTGGTTGCTGTTGGTTCCGCCACCGCCTGCAGACAAGAGATCCACCACCACTTGCTTGGCTTGAGCCGTCACGTCATCGGGACAAGCGACCGACTCCAAAAAAGGAACCAGGACTTCGTCCACGGCACTTTCGGGAGTGGCATCAGGGTCCCCTTCATCCTCGGCCACCTTGCTGGCCAGCAGTCCACCCATGTAGGAGACCAGATCTTCATCCAACCCATCAATTTCGTCTTTCAGCAGGACCTTGGACAGGGCTTCGGCCAATTCTTCTTCGTCCACCATGGTCTCTGTTATACTAGTACAATAGTTCCTTTATTGGTCAAGCTAGCTACGGTAGCTCCTCTTTTGTTCCTTCCTGTTTGTTGGTCTGCCGATGACTGATGTGATGTGGACACCGTTGCGTGCCTCGGGTCAAAGCAACAAGATCTCTAAGATCTCCAACCGTCGATCTTTGGTGCGCGAAAGAGCGCATACAACGGCTACTTTACAGTGAACAGGTCGGTAGGGTTAAGGCACGAAAAAATGAGGCTGGGAAAATGACGCATGACGAGAAAATTTCTACAATGGCCATCAAGGATTAATTAAGGCCGTTGCTGATCCAACATCCAACACCTATTACACTGCACAATGGCACCCAACGATACCAACAGCAACAGCACGAACATGTCTATCCATCACAGAAAAGCTGCAGTTTTGGTGTTGTTCTGGATCCTGGTCCAGTCTAGTAGCCCTGCCGTTGGCTTTCACAACAACAACAACAATCAGCTGACTCCAAGATCTCGCCTGCCAAAGCCACATCCATCACCATCCATACAAGCTGACATTTCCCATGGCGGCGCTAGCAGCAAATCGGAACAGCAACAAGGCACTGCTACCATTCCCAATGAAATTTTCAATCTAGTCAAATCCATTGTCGGTGCCGGAGTTTTATCCCTGCCGGCTGGCATTGCCGCGTTTGGCAATGCTCCCAGTGCCCTCCTCCCAGCAATCGTGTTGATTGCCATCATGGGGGCCATTTCCGCCTACACATTCTCCATGATTGCTCGCGTCTGTCGCATGACACATGCCACGAGTTATGCCGATTGTTGGGACAAGACACGAGGCAACATGGCATGGATCGTGGCGGCATCGTCGGCACTCGATTGCTTTGCCGGGAATCTCACCTATTCCATGGTACTGGCGGATACCTGCAAGGATCTATTGGCGGCATTTGGCATTGTCACGACGCGATCCAAGGCACTGCTGGCATTGACATCCGTGGTTCTTTTGCCACTCTGTTTGGTCAAGAATCTGGCATCTCTAGCGCCCTTTTCGTTGGTAGGAATCATGGGCATGGTATACACATCCATTGCCATTGGAACACGGTACTTTGGTGGAGACTATATTGTTCCAACGGGAAAGTTTGTCCAAGACTTGGCTCCTGGAATGATTCCTTCCTTTGGGAGCACGGGAGCCATGGGGGCACTGTCTCCCAAATCACTCATTCTCGTTTCCATGCTGTCCACCGCATACATTGCTCATTTTAATGCACCCAAGTTCTACCGAGAACTCAAAAACAACACCATGGCTCGCTTCAACACAGTGGTAGCATCCTCCTTTGGACTTTCCATTGCCTTTTATGCCTTGGTTTCGTCCATGGGATTCCTCACCTTTGGATCGGCCACAGCAGCCATGATACTTAACAACTACTCCACCAAAGACACACTCATCAGTCTGAGTCGCTTTGCCGTCGGATTATCCTTGATATTCTCCTACCCGCTCTTGTTTGTGGGGACACGGGATGGGTTGTTGGATCTGGCGCAAGTACCGGAATCCAAACGATCGGTGCTTCTTTTGAATCAAATCACAGTGGGATTGGTGGCCATCCTGACGGGTTTGGCCCTCAAAGTGACGGATCTTACCTTTGTGGCTAGTATGAGTGGAGCTCTGCTGGGAACGTCCCTGATTTTCATTTTCCCCACGCTCATGTTTCGTGCCGCCGTTGCAAACAGCAAGAATCCAACTCGAGGGCAACAACTCGAGAGCCGTTTGTGTGCTGTCATTGCAGCTTTGGGGGTTGCGATTGCCGGTGTTGGGACCAAGATGGCATTGCAATAACCCAAAATGCAAGAGTACATAATATATACCGTATGTGGGTAACTACACTTCTCGTAGTAGCTAGCTAGCGGGGGGGAAATGAGATTATCAATACTATAATCACAAGCTAGCATCTGGAAATCCTTCTGGAAAGAGATGTATCTGCTTTCTACAACCGACTGCGAGGTGCTCTGGCTTCTTTCTTCTTCTTTTTCTGGGCTCCAATCACCAATTGCTTGGCTGCCTCCAATACTTCGCCATTTCGAAATCGTTGATCGAGAACGGCAAGCTCTCGTAGCAAGACCTGGTGCATTCGAGAACGTCGTGCTCCCTTGACCAAGGTGCAGAATACTTGTGCCGTGGCCGGTCCATTGGTCAATGACAGGAGTCTCTTGTCAATGTCTTGGCACATGCGACTGGCCAGACTATTGGGATGGAATGGATCACCCGATGATAGATCACAGTCGGTAATGACTTGTGAGCAAATTCCCCAATCCAATGCCGTCTTGGCATCCACTCGTTTCCCCAATAGCAAGATTTCGTTGGCTTTGGACAAGCCCATGGTCTCAATGAGGGTGGCGGACGCTGTCAGCTCTGGAACTGTAAAACAAAAAAGAAAGATGGAGCGGGGGAGGACATGAGTGTAACCTGGACATAAATGAAAGCGATCAAAAGATTCTGGTTTTGATATTTTTGTTCCTTACCCAACGACAATCTGGCAAAGGGAGCCCAAAAGAACGCCTTTTGTGAAAAGTAGACCAAATCACATTGCAGCAGCGCCGATGCGGCAATTCCCACGGTGGGTCCTTGGACAGCGGCACAGATTAGCTTGGGAAAAGATACCATGGCCATCATGAAGCGACCATTGGGCTGCAAAAGGACGGGATCTCCCTCTTGGAAACTGGCCAAGTCGAATTTTTTATTCTTGACATCGGCTCCGCTGCAAAAATAAGATCCGGCTCCGGTCCAAACCACTGCGGCAATGGAGGGATCATTCTTGGCCCGTTCCAGAACCTCCAGCAGATCTTCGTACGTGTCATCACTCAAAGCATTCCTGGCTTTGGGTCGATTGATGGCCACGACAAGGATGGATCCAGTATTATTATTACTGCCTCCCCGTCGACAAATGGAAACGGTTCCTCTTCCGTGCGGTGAGGGTGTTGTGGTTGCCTCGGCAAAGATCTTTTCAAAGGGTTTGGCCATCTTTCCGCTAAAGGTAGATGGAGGTGGATGCACAATTGAAAATCGAAGTCCATCAGAAAGGAAGGGAAAGAGAGAACCCTCCACAACAAATGTCTTTCACCAGCTCTGCTGTTTCGTTTCAGTCCCATCTTAGCCAGCCACGTCACGAACCCTCATCCGTTTCGCGCCCCGACGACGACGACGAAACCCCGAGAGACCACACAAAACGATGGGTTGCCGAGTGCGTTGTGATTGTTGTGATACTAGCTAGAGCAGTTGCCATTCTGAAAGTGACGGGTCTGTTGCTCTTGTTGAACTTAGCTATTGAAAAGGAGAGGCACCATGTCGCATTCTTCCACCAACCACACCCTTTTTGGCAGCAACTTGCTGTGGAATACATTGGCCGTGTTGCATGAGGTGACTGGTTTGCACAAGCGTGACTCTTCTTCCCCTCCCGCTGCTTGGGTTCCTGGAGAAGGGAGCAAGAGCAGTGTCAATGTGGAGCTATCGACTGGTAGTGGTGGTGGTGGGAGCAGCAGTAGCAGTACGGATGGCAGCGAAAACACCAGGATAGCCAACGCCATGACCGAAAGCGGCAAGAAGAACGCCAATAATCCCAAGGAATTGACCGTTTTGGAAGCCATGCTGGTGGACGTTGTGGTGGGGACGTTGGTCATGGTACTTGTCTACAGCGTCTGGAATCTTAGCAATGCGTTGGCACAAATGCTGACGGGAGATGAGAGTGGTGGCGACGTGGATCAGGTCAAGTCGTCGGCCGTCAAACACTTGAACGAAATTCTCAAGAAACGCGGCAAACAGCTCGCGAAACCACTCAATTCGCACGAAACTCACATTGCCGAAGATGTCATTGATCCAGACGATATTGACTCGGATTTCTCCGATATTGGTGGCATGGATCATATCAAACAAGAAGTGTGGGAGTTGGCCATTTTGCCACTCCAACGACCCGACCTGTTTCAGGGAAAATTGACACAACAACCCTCCGGCATTTTGCTCTATGGACGACCCGGATGTGGAAAAACACTCCTGGCCAAGGCCATTGCCAGAGAGAGTGATGCCGTCTTTATTCCCATTAAACTTTCCAAAATTCTAAACAAGTGGGTGGGAGAATCCAACAAGTTGGTGGCTGCCACATTCAGTCTGGCGCGCAAACTGGCACCGGCCATTATTTTTATTGATGAGTTGGTGAGTATATTCTTATGATGTGTATTTTGTCTGTTGTTCGTCAAGCCATTGTTCTCAAGTTCTTTTATTGTTATTGCTGTTTGTTTCCAGGACACCTTTTTGAGTGACACGGTCGATCCATCGGCTAGCAAATCCATGGAAAGTCTCAAGGCTGAATTCCTCACCCTATGGGATGGAATCACCACCAATTGTCATCAGGCACCGGTACTCGTCTTGGGGGCCACCAATCGACCACAGTTGATTGATTCTGCCATTTTGAGACGCATGCCACGAACGTTTGAGGTGCCACTGCCAGACGCCAAAGGCAGAGAACAAATATTAAGGGTCATGCTGCACGATCAACCCATGGACGAAACCGCCAAATTGTTTCTTCCGGAATTGGCATCCAAAGAACGAACCAGAGGATACTCGGGGTCAGATCTCAAAGAACTCTGTCGTGCAGCGGCCATGGAACCAATCCGCGAAATCATGGCGGAGGAATCGAGAAAGGCTGTCATGGGAGAAAAGAAAACGACAAAGAAACCAACAACAACAGCAGCAGCCAAAAATGGAAAGAACCAAACGGCAGTAGCAAAGGAGCCACCACAATCAGCCAACACCGAGGACACCGTGCGACCAGTGCGCCAAAAAGACTTTGAAACGGCACTGAAAAAGGTCAAGCGAACGGGGCAAGCCGCAAGAGAATATGGACGAAACATGGCTCGATTCGATGCGCAACAAGAAGTGGCGAATGCGGTAAATGGGTTTTCTCGGGAACAACTGGAACGAGCAGTACAGCAACTGATTTCTCAACTCGAGAACAATGGCCGCACCAACGGGAAATCTTCCAACCACGACAGTGACGATGTCGGTGATGTTCCGCCTCCCCTTTCCGAATAAATAGTTCAAATTCTGGCCGACGACAGACACACCCATTCAGCCTTCATGGCAAGCTAGCAATGATACGACGTAATGCCTATCCTTCCTTCTTCCAAGACAAACTAGGCTACAAATAATGGGAAGAAGCCAAATAAAATACCCTACTAACATTGTTTAGCTACCAATGCGGCCATTGGATCTGTCATTATAACAGATACACACCCTTTTCTCTGATCAGTTCAAATCTCTTGCGCAAGTCGGGGGCTGGAGGTCGGAAACCCAACTGCCAGAAGCAAGGAATGCCATCATGGGGTGAGTAGAAGAATGGCATACTATACCGGCTAGTGGGGACAGTGCGACTCTCCTCTGGTAGCAACCACTTGAAAGCTTTTGGTGAAACAAATGGGTATGATCCATCTTCTCTGCGCGGAAGGATTCCCGGGCAGAACTCCAACGAGCTAATGACAAGAGGCCACCACCTCTGCCCTTCGGCTGGCTTGATGTTCTTTTCCGCTGGGCATCGCTTTCTCTTGCGCAAGTGCGGTATGGAAAATCTGGCGGCACTACAAATGGGCGTGCTGTTGGACGGAACTGGGAAAGTTCGATCAACGGGCAACTGATACTTTTCTTTCCTTCCAGCAATATCAGGATGCTCTGTGTTCCACAGGTCAACACCGACCGCCCGACCAATCCTGGCAAGGGTATCCCAGCCTTGAAGTGTAAACATCTGGTAGTGTTCGCACATTGTCCGTTTCATCTCGTGCGGCATGGACCAATCGTCCGGATCAATATGCTCTCGAAGCCGTGCCGGATTGCGAGTAAGAGTGTAATATAACTTGTCTCGGTCGCCAACGTACGCTGCCATGGAGGTGACAGATATATCATAGTACAAACCATGATTGTTTGGTTCTCCCCGCTCAGCGGCTCCTTGATTGGATGTGTCGTACCATTTCAGCAATTTACGGAACCACTCTCTCAGATCTAATTGTTGCTTCGCGTCCAGATAGTTGCTTTTCTCCAAAATACGAATGGAATCGAGAAAGAAGCACACATCTTTGAACTCGATCAAACCTTCGTTGCGCCCTTCGGGACTTCCGATGGCAATCTGTGCCCACTTGAGGTGAGGATTCATTCGAGTTTTGGGGTCCAGAAACCACACTTGGATACATTTTGCAGCGTGCTTGGCGTATGACTCTTCCCCCGTAAAGAAGTAAGCCAAAGTCAACATGGTGACATTGTTCTTCATGTCAGCTAATCGCGTCCGGTCAAAATTACCACTCCAGGGATCATGCAACACAGTTCCTGGCATTCGTTGACCATCTCGCCATTGTGCTCTTCGGCCGTAGTTGATAGTTCCATTTTTGTGCTTTCGAGGCCAATGGTAAGGCGCGGTGTGGAAATAGTCATGGCAATCGCCGCTCGGTGCACAGCTCGATGCAGGCTTGTCTGTGACTGCCCATGGTCCGAAATGAAGGGCGTGATCTGCCCACTTGATCAGTCGTTGAATCAGAGTGACCAAAGCGTTGCCATCCTGATCCTTGATTTCTCCAAGCATATCGTAAACCAATTCGTCGCCCTCCACTGGCTCGCGATCTGTGAGCTTTCGAAAGATGTGTCTTTCCTGTCGCAGAATGTATTCGTCGTAGTACATCATCGTTGTGCCCACCTTGCTGGCGTTGTAGCCGTACATGTCAGTGGCGATTCGTTCCTCCATACGAAACAGGATGTTGTTCATGCCTTCGTTACGAGAGTTGCCCCGTTGGACCAGTTGACCCGCAGCTTCCAAACCAGAATTACCGGATGCTAATCGCGCCACCCACGAATTGTTGGAGACCGTCACACCATCTGGTAGATCCGATGGTGCCCGTTGTCGCGAAAGACGCACCGGTTTGCCTTTCTTTGTTTTCTTGATTACCGGCTTGGTATTTCCATCTTGTTGTGTCTTCGCCAGCATGGTTTCTTCCCAGGGCAACCATTCCCATCGATTCCAGGGTCCGTCGAACCCCAGTCGTGACAGCAGCTCTACCTTGTTGCGTCGACCGTACCTCAGGAGCGGATGAAAAATAGCCTCGGCCGTTTTGTGAAAGACAATTTGCGGCTCTTCCTGAGGGTCCGCTTTGTACGTTTCGTAGTCCAGCAAGGCATCGTTGCTCCCCGTGACTCGGTTCATGGGCAGCACAACGTATTTCTTGCTCGTGGTTTCCTTTTTTTGCGTCTGCAACTTGTCAAGATGATTGGAGAGCTGTTCCTTCGCAGGTGGTGTAAAGAAACAGTTTCCGTCCAAGGGCAGGATCCAGTCCGCGTCAGGATATTGATGGCGACCAATTTCCAACATTGTATTACGCGCTCCATTGACATTTGTCAGATACAGATTCTTGTCGTTGCTGGCGGCGTCTTCAATTAATTGTCGTTCCTTTGGATCTCCTTTTTTCCCCCAATCAAATCTCCAATGATGAAACGCATCCTTGATGACATTTTTGGCCTTTTTGCTTGTGCCGTAGTAATGGTGTAGTGTGTAGGGAATGGCAGCATACAACGTCAAGTTGAAAGGAACCACTGTGTAGTGTTCGTTGTACTCCTCCAATAGCCCAACCATGGCTTTCAGATTGCTGTCATCGACAATGCGATTCAGAACCCAATGCCGTTGTTCGTTTGGGTATTGTTTTTCATTTTTCAGGATAAAGGTGACACTGCGCAAGGTTTGATCCAAATCATGACGGGGTGGCAACGGATTTCCCACGGATCGCAAGATAACCATGCGAGGCTTCCCTTGGGCGTCCGTCTTGGCAGGATAGATTTCTGGTGGTTGGGTAGCAACAGCAGCTACTGCATTGCTTTTATCTGCTTCAGGCTCTTCTGCATCGGCCGTTGGTTCATCTACTTCTTGTGCATCCTCGTTATTGAGAGTGTTGTCGGCTGCTTTCTTTTTCTTGTTTTTCTTCATCATTTTCTTCTTACCAGTCGTCTTGCTGGTGAGGCCGTTGTTGTCTCCTGCAGGAAGTCTTTCCATGGCAGAACCTTGTTCTTGCTCTTCCTCATCAGCTGTAGCAGGATGTTCTACATCGGCTCCCTCCTGCTCTGATGCTTCTTCCTGTTGTTGCGGTTCCTCTGGTTCTTCCTCCTGTTGTACCTCTGGTGCTTCCTCTTCTCCCTCAACATTATTGATGTTGACTTGCTGCTTTTTCTTCTTTTTCATCATTTTCTTTTTCTGCTTTTTAGTTTTGACTGAGGCAGGTAGAGCCTCTTCCTCTTCTTCTCCTGCTGGAGCTTCTTCCAATTGTTCTAGAATGGGTTCCCCTTCTTTGTGTTGTCCAAAGGACTCTTCTCCTTCTGGTTGTTGTACTGCAGGTTCCTCCTCTTCGTTTTCTGGCACATCATTTTCCAATAAAGAGTCCTCATCTTGGTTTGGTGTTTCCTGCTGATCTTCTAAAGCTTCCCGTTGTCGTGGATGTGATTCATCTTCTTCTTGATCCAAATGCGCTGGTGCATCCTCCTCCATCACTTCTTCTGGCTGTTGTTGTTGTTGTTGTTGTTGTTGTTGTTGTTCCACCAAAGTGGCACCATTTTTCTTTTTCATCATCATTTTCTTCTTATTGTCACGCTTGTTGCTGTTGTTTTCCAATTCCACGGCACCTGGAGCTGCAGCAGCGCCACCACGAACTGCGTTTTCCTTTCGTTTTTGCTTCTTGTAAGCTTCCATAAAGACTTTGCCAGCCTTGGGAATATATGGAACATTCCGTTTTGGTGGTGGGGGTTGTTGATAATCATCATTGGAAGATGGTGGTGGAAAGGCATTGAGGAGATTTTTGTTTCCATCAACCACGGCTGCATCGGAGAGTACCAGACGAGGAACCACGGCCACCAGGACGAGAGAGGAAAAGAGTAATGCCAGTATCAGCAATACTCTGGGAGGGGAATTGTCATTGCGTGCCGCAAATGTTCCTTTTCGTGCTGAAAGAGCCACAGTTCCTCCCGAGCGAGGAGCAGTGCTGTGTCTTCCAGAGCCATTGCTCATGGCAGCTCCAGGAGTTACCGCCCGTCTCATCTTATCTTGATGATTTTATCCACAACAACAAATGGACTAAATAATAGTGAGATCATGGGCAGGTCCAAGCCAAAGTTTTTTGCGAGAATGATGCATGCAGAAAGGAACCGCGTTGAGAAGAAGACTGGTTTGGAAGTGGTCCGCGCTAAAAAGATACGAGCGTCTCACATTTTGGATCTGACTCGACTCACTCGACTCGACTCACTCGACTCGACTCATCGCGATCTTTCTTTCTTGCCAACGCTCCAAGCCCAGCCAGTGACAGTCTTCTTTCCTGATAAACTTCTTTCCTTCTGGCTCCACCTTTACGGTACTCACCATGGCTGAAGACTCTTTGTTGTCTTCATCCTCAGCAGCAGAAAATTCGCCACTACTACTGTCACCCCTGGTGCTCGCCACAACAACGATCGCCATAACGACAGTGTTCTTGAAGTATTATTGGAGCGACCAACGACGCATGGAAACAGCCTTGGCCAAACAGGGCATTCCAGCGCGATATCGATGGTCCCTGCCGTTTGTAGGTCACGTCGAACAATTCTGGGATTATGAACGACTCTTGTTGGAAAGTTTTGACCAAACACCTCCACTGAGTTATTTTACATTGTTTGGAGACGTTTTGCTCATCATTGGCAATGTCGAACTCTCCACGCGTCTCTGGCCCAAATTCCAAACATGGGACAAGTGCGCCGTCTTTTACTCCATGCTAGACGTTCTCTTTGGGACCAACGAGCGGACACTGCTCACCCAAATCGAGCACGACACGGATCCACAGTGGCAGTGCAAACGAGATTTGGTCAGTCAAGCCATGTACAAGGACAAATTGAATCAACAATTGGCACCCTTTATTGAAGTGCATGTCAAAGACCTGTGCGAGCAGTGGTTAACACAAGGACACGGCATTGATGTCGATCATGATTTGACCGCCTTGACATTGAGAGTCATTATTCATTTCATTTTTGGACCACAACAAGAGGACCTGACGACCTCCGTCCAAAAGATACAAAAAGCGCTTCAAGATGTCGTGGATCTTGCCTGGACCATCAACACCAATCCACTTGCTGCCATTCAACAAATGATTCCTGAAACCCATGCTTATCAAGTGACTCAAAACTTTCGAGGTTGTATTCGAGAATTGATTGAGAAGGCTAAAGCTAAAACAAAAACAACCGACAAGAACTGCCAAGAAGAGGAAATGCCGGCACTAATTCACGCCATGTTGGCACAACGTTGGAAACCAGAAATATTGGAAAATGAAGTCATGACCCTCCTCTTTGCAGGTCATGACACTACTGCACATGCCACCGCCATTGCACTCGAAAACTGTGTCAATCATCCACGAGTGGTACAAGCCATTCGGCAAGAATACAAAGACCTAGTATTACCCAAAAAAGAAGACGGGGCTACCTGCTTTTACAACAATATGAAGTGGCCCATGGCAGCCTGGAAGGAATCCCTACGACTCAATCCGGAAACAGCCGGTGGAACCATTCGATTAGCACCCGATGACATACACTTGTCGGATGATCTTGTCATTCCCAAGGGATGTGCCGTCCTCAGTCCCTTTTGGGTCTACTCCAGCGCGGAAGGCAACTGGGGCCCCGATGCGAAGCAGTTTCGTCCGGAACGATTTCTGCCTTCTAATAATAATGGGAACAACAACAACAACAACAACAACAACGTCAGCAACTCTACTTGCCCTCGAAAATATATTCCCTTTTCCCAAGGCAAGAGAAACTGTGTGGGAATGCCATTGGCATACATGGAAGGATCCATGCTGCTAGGGTATATACTGGAACACTTGGATATCACCATTGAAGCTCCAGCCAAGAAGGTTTTCAAGGTGACTGTCCGGGTAGAAGACTTTACTATCAGTGCCAAACGCCGTCAAACGAGCCAAGAACAAGCATGATGAGACTTCTTCACATCCAGCCAGCAAGCAGGAGAGATGGTCAATTCCAGATTGTGACCGAGCCAATGGATCTCTTGAGCCTGCCGTCTCCTTTGCGACGTGATTTGAAACTTATGCGTGGAAATCACTGCGTTCGCCTTGCCGCAGCAATGACGAGATTGCAGCCTGTGTTTTGCAAAGGCTGCCGTACCCGTATTGCTCAATTGGATTGGTGTTCTTTTGAGTCTACCATAGCAGAAAACTATTACTAGGGTTCAAAGCCTTCTACGGCTGAGGGCTCCACTTGGGGAATAGTTATTATTGAGTAAACTGCGGATACGGCTGGATGTTTGTTGGCTATAGTTTGCTTAGCCAAATATTTGCATCTAGTTTTATGGCAACCTTGTATGAGATAGATTATTCCCCACTCGTGTTTTGAGGATATTCTGCACCTCCTTGGCAGTTGCCCTTCTTCTTGGATCCCACACCCAACATGCATTCATTGCCTGTAGCAGAACCTTGATGTTCGGGTCCTTGTTCTTCAAGGTTGATTCTCGGATGTGTGGCTGGTGCCCATTCATGACATTGTCTATGGACTCTTCGGGGGAAAGATTGTGAAATGGATATTGCCCTTCAACAATGGTGTACAAGATATTGCCAAGGGCAAAGATATCAATCTTTTCTGTGACATACTTTATATTGGTATCATACTCTTCAGGGGACCGAGTTTTGCCCCCCTTCATGAGAGGACGAAAGGGACATGTTTGTTTCTTGGCAGCATCCCATTTTACAAATGGTGCTCCATTAAAATCACTCAATTGAAAGGTTTTGCCTTCATCTGTGCTGACTAGTTGCGTAATATCAAAATCATCATGTGCCACAGAAGTGATTCCGTCATGATCAATATCATGCAGATCCGCCAGAGCAGATACTACCTGATATGCTACATCCAATTTGCGTTGACTTGTCCACTGCTCCCATTTTTTATGCGCCTCCTGGTCCACTTTTTGATCACGAAACTCCTTGGCACCGATAGCATCATAGAGTGTCCCACTCTTGGCGTATTGGTAGATGGCACTGTTGCCACAATAGCCATAAATATTCAGGATGTGGGGTGATCCTGTCAATCGCTCCGAAATCAAGGCATCTCGTCGATGCCGATGAGAATTGCTGACGTCAAAATCCTTGTCTATTTTCAATGTCTTGAGGACAGTTTGTTCCAAGGGAACATCTGTCTCAATGGTTTGTTCCAACAACCAGACCGAGCGCACTGCACCTGATCCCATCAAGAAGCGCGGTTGCACTCGACCTTCATCCAGCAATTGACGCATCATGTCAAAGGAATGCAGATTGTTGCAGGTTGGAAAGGATTGTTTCATCCAGTCATGTGGCAATTGACATGGATCCTTTTTCTCCTCCTCATCTGGGTCTTGCGCTGGAAATTGGTATGTTTTCCAATCAATGACATCTGGAGTTTCCAGTCCCATGAGCTCTACTGTACGATGTTTCCAGTTCCAAGAGATCTTTGGAGTTTCGGCAATGCCGCTGTCGTCTCCTCGCAAAGCTGCCCATATATTTCTCTGATCCACAGTGGGTTGGAGTTGTTGCAGCGTGTAGGGGTCAAGGCGCACCACTGGATGATACTTGGACGACAAAATCTGCTTTACTCGGAGGCCACTTTTTCTTCTATTGGTTACAGGTTCATTGTCCTGGCCGAAAGACGCCACAACCGTTGGCTTGGCACCAAAGTGGGAATACTGGTTCTGCCCGGAAGGAGTGATCAGCTCCAAAGGGTTTTGGACAGCGGTCAAGACAAATCCTGCAAGAATCAAAACTAGCAATACTTGACGTCGCCCTTTCTTGCTATTTGCTTCGGCCACCTTGCTCGCCTTGGAGAAACTATCATGTCTCTGCAAGGTGCTAATCTTTCGACCAAACTGGCAATCTGAGGACGTCGTCTACTACTGGTAGTTGTGGCGGACTGTGATAATAGAGTGGTATCTCTGCGTTTGGGTTCCTCATCATGGAGTGCTGAGTTGGTAGAAGTGATGCACATGGTGGCGACTAGTATATTAGATGTGCTGGACGCTCTTATCTGATGCGACAATGCCAATGCGCAGCGTCCATCACCATTTATTTTGAATTCAAAACTTTAGGCCGGTCTCTACTGTACTTGCCTTGGCGCACATAACTCGACTCATTCGATTTGAAAAAAATCGACTCTTCGAATCGAATCGAGATAGATTTGAAGTGAAGATCATGCAAGATCCCTGTCATCTCGCGACCCAACCAGTTGACTACGGTGTATGGTACGTGATGTACATTGCAGTCAACTGACGTACAGGCTAGCTTCGCGCCGAATGCGTTTTTGAACAAGCCTGTATAAAAAGTCCAATTTACGATTTTAAAAGTAAGCAAAATGTAAAAGTGAAAATCTAAATACCTTGTTATTTTTTAAAAAAGCATCTCCGTGACGTGCATCCAGTGGGGAGTGCCACTATCTAGCTATCTAGCTAGTCGCACTACAGCTACAAATAGCTTGTTCACTACTATTACTTATCACTACTACCTAATTGTATTGCTTCACAGCTTGCTCCCAGCCAGGACCTCTGTGGAAACGTCATTCGCGGCAAAATACTTAGGAGACGATACACCGAGGAAATAGGAGAACGATTCGAAATGATTAAGAGACGAAAGCAATCGTCTCCTACATTTAGGAGACGATTCAGTTGGAGACATTCTAATTAGGAGACGATCGTTTTGAAATAGGAGACGATCCGAAAGCTTAAAGAGACGATACCATACAGTTTACATGGTACACTTAAGCGAAGACGATCCTTGAAATAGGAGACGTTTTTAAAGAGGAGACAAAAGATTTAGGAGACGATGCCGTTTCGTCTCCTATTTTTAGGAGACGAAATCCATTAAATAGGAGACGATCAAAAGGATTTAAAGAGACGAAAAGTAGCCGACTCGAAGTTTTCCACAGAGATCCAGGGTTGCATGAGATTTAAGCTGGGAAGCAAGCAGCAAACCACAAGCACATTCCAACATGTAATGAATGGCTCTTCTTTTGTTCTCCACATGTGTGAGCTTGCTGTTCATGGTTTTGAACTTTTCTGATTCTGTTTGGGTGACATCAAATAGTCTTACCAATTGCGCAGTTTGTTCGTCAAGTCTGTCTCCAAAGCTTGGACCGGCGGCCGGCAAAGTCGCACCCAAGCCGACATATTATTCCAAGTTTTCAAAGAAACCCTGCCTCCCACCACCAAATGATAAAGGATCTGCATCTCCTAGAAGAGGGTAGCCTGTATAGAATTCTGATCTTCTGGCCTCTGTAGTGGTCAGCTTGGCACCATTCTTGTGCTCCACATCCCTTTGGTACATATACCGACCAGGGCTGACAGAGGAGCTTGCGACCATTCCTGTACGGACCCATTGCCTGCGATTCTTGTCCCAGTAGAAATAGGCACCGTCAACTCGCATTGTAACAGTAACCAGCTTGAAGTTGGATGGATCAGCCAGTAGACTGTCCGTTGGTTTGAGGCATCCCAAATCGTCCACAATCGTGTCTTTCATAACAAAAAGCACACACACATGACCAAGTGTCTTTGCTTGGAAGTCCCAGCACCAATTGTCTGAAAGCAGCGGTGGCTCCAAAGGCACTAGTGGATCGAAGTGATCCCTCAGCCGTGACTCGTGTTTCGGTCTTATGGACTGCCTTTTTGACACAGCTACTCTGATTCATTCCAGCTATGGCTCGGGTGTATCGTCTCATGGTGTTTCTGCAGGGAGTAATAGCAGATTCTCGTAGAGCAACAACACCGACCCTTGCAAGCTCCTCGTTCTTCTTGTCTTGCATCTTCTTTGCGATTTCCTTTTGCGAGAAGGATCTCCTTGGATGAGCAGCGATATCTTCAACAATTACTTTTACAGACTGGGCAGAAAGATAAGAGGACTTTTCCCTTCTTGATATACCACTCTCATTGGGGAAAAGTTTCAGGGTACCACCTTCAATTACATGATCCTCAAATTGTTTGACCACCTTGAGAAGACCTCCACGGCCAATTGGCACATATTTCTGTGCCAGAATCTCTCGAACAACCTGGCCACGCTCACGACTGCTCTTCTTGAAGGAAGTGATCAAGGCTATGCATTCCCGTCGATTATAAACAGAACCATTGGATGGGGGTGGAGCGAGTGAATTAATTAATTCGTTGGCAGTGTGGTTGCTTGCTGCTGCTACTGTTGGGGCCAACTTTCTCGTTGCTGGTGTAATAGTAGTTGTTGCCATAGGACTGACATGAATCATAGCTTGAACTTTCCCAATGGGAGTGGGTGGCAATTGTGGGTTGGTGAGAGTAGTGGGAGTGTTTTCCTTATTGGCTTTATCAATAATAGCCAATGCTCGATTATCAAAGCCAGGAAATGGAGCAAGTTTCTGTAAATTCTTGTCAATATCATACGAGGACTGCTTCAAGTACTGACTAACCACTGTGAGTTCCTCGGTAGCCTTCCTCTTTTGTGCTCGAGAAGAGGTGCGATCAGTAAGAATATTTTGAGCATCAGTAATTACTTTTGATGCCTCTGACATTGTTTTTCCTGTCTCTGTCAATTTGCCAAATGAGGCAACTCCAGCGTCAATTTTGGTGGTTCTTCTAACAGGAGTGACAGGTTGGGCTCTTCTACCCTTGGTGAGATGCATACCTGTGGGCATAGTTCCGTTGGTTGGGCCCAATTGGACTAATAGTGGGGACAGAGATTGGTCGACCTGTTGGTGGGAGGATAAATAGCCAAGAAATGGCTGCCCTACTTTGCTGGCCGTTCGTCACTCCCACAGCCACCAAATAAAGAAGCCACTACCACCACTGCGACCGGCACGTTCAAAATATGTATCCCCTATCTCAAAATATTGTCAGGTTCACTCTATTGGTTAAACTACTTGGGATATCTGTGAGCACAGGTAATGCCTCTGAAACTGAGCTTCTTAAAAAAATGGGAGCCAGAGGAAACTGACTTGACGCCAAGGAAGTGCTCAGAGAGCTGCCACTCCGAGAGCTGCCGCTCCCAGAGCTGCCGATTGCCGATCCAGAATTTACCCCTTTTTTACCCCATCCTCACAACGTTCCGCTCAAGAGTCAACTGGTTGGGTCAGTCAACCAGTTGGGCCGCGAGTAGCCTTCGCTCTTGTATCTTCTTCTTCGGATGCTCCAGTCCAGCTTGGTGTCCCAGAGCAAAAGTTCGAAAGTACAGCCAGTTCCCTCTTCGCTGCGGTCACCATCCTTTATAATATGATAGTATATGATAAGGACACGCTGTCACGCTCGATGGCTGCTGTCATTCTTGGCAAAAAGTCAACTACTGTGGATGGTTAACAAACAAAGCGATCCCTAGTTTCTCTTTCATGAGGGGATTGGGGAACCGCCGTTGATCTCGAAACTGCCGTAGCCACCATTGAATTGTCGTTGGATTAGTAATTGTCAAATCACCCGTAACGTGTTGAATTTCTTTCATTGCCTCCTGGCATTGTGTCATCGTCGAAACCAGTTCATCTGCTCGCCCTCTCCATCGGCTTCCATTAGTAGTGTAATGGCCCGCTGCATGTACGAGGCTTTACATTTGACAGTAACGGCCAGCTTTTCAACTCGTGCAGGATCAAACTGCATTTCAAGGGGCTCTCCATCGAAGTTGTCAATGTAGTAGGTTGGCAAGTCTGACGCGGCAAGTTCAGTGATCAGTTCCTTGGCATGCTCTGTGCTCTTTGCAGCCTCCTTCAACAAAGCTAGAATCGTTGCGGCTGCCTCGCGAGCTGTTTCGAAACCTCTTGATGCAAACAGTTTCTCGGCTTCGGTTGAGTACCAAAAGTTGCATAGACCATAGAGACCCTCTGGAATGTATGGTTTTATTGAAAGCCTATGCATCTCCAGGTTTTGTTTCCAATGCAAAGCGTTTGACTCTGCCATGGGTGGCAGCCGAGCAATACCATCTGAGAAATCCGAATAGATTGTGGTTAATGATTCTGTCACTCGAATGTAGAGCTTCTTGGACTTGTCTTTCAATCCATTGCTGGCATCTACAGAAGGTTTCATTGAGGCGTGCAACAGTCCTTCCAGCGTCTCCTTTTCAGAGAACCGAAGCCGGTATGTGTCCAGAAGCAGTGGGGTAGTTCGATCAAAATGTGTGAGCCGCTGACAGGTTGATAGAACGATTGATATAGGCCACCATCAACACTGAATAGCACTATTCTTCTGAAAAAGGGCTAAAACAGAGTCGGCCATTTTCTTTGATTCATCTGCCAATTCGGTCTCTTCGAAAGCAGCCTGCAAGACTCTTCCAATCACTTTCCGTGCTGATCCGATTGAAGCTCACTTCTGTTGCGGGGTAAGAGGCGCCCCTGTTGCCGGAGTTCTTTCGTTGTTGCTTCTTTTCCACCCCAATGATGCCTTGGTTGGAGACAAGTAGCTCGGTCCATTACTCTTGTTTGCTGGCGGAGACTGTGCAGAAGGAGGGCGTCGTTTTTGGACATGATTCTTTCAGTAGGAGCGGCGCTGGTTCTTGCTCTCCAAGGCCGCAGCCATAGGTGTTCGTGACCATTGAAGATTCGACATCCCACCAAATGAATGGCAAAGGGCAAAAATTCCATGCTTTAGGTCTCATTCAACAGTTCACGCTGCAGCGGAGGCTGCAGCCTCCGCTGCAGCCTCTGGTCAAAAGGTCGATTCCACTCAAGGTTGATTCCACTCATGCCAACATCCATCATGGACTGACGATTCTATTTTCTTCTCTCTCAGGCCAAATCCACCACTTCCATTAGCTACCAACCCATCAAGTGGGTGCCAAAGGCAGCCTGTACGGGCTGAACAGCGACGCCATGGTCTACGGTACATGCTATGGCTGTGTATTCCTGCGACCGTCATGGTCGATGTTATAATGGAGAGTTACTATGGATTAGAGAGAGCTAAGATGAGGATGAGGACAGAGCTCGAGGGGAGGGCACGATGCATGAACGCAAGGCAAGCAATCAAGTGCGCAAGCAGGGCAACATGGAAACCAAGGAAAGGGGTGAAGGCAGGAGGGCAGGGAGGAGCAAAGGAGCAAGACTAGCGGAAGAGATCGAGGGCACCACAGTCATCCCAACGATTGGAAATCTTGAGAGCTGGGACATGGGAGCCTCTAAGACACAGAGTCGCGGCACGGGCAAGAGCTATGCTCAACCTGGCCGAGCTGAAAGAGCGAACCACAGAGTAGGGCTTGGACCACTTGTGAGCCAAAAGCTGGGAGAGCCGTTGGAGAACAGCTGTAGCTTCGGCAGCAAAGAGGCCATCAGCAGAAACAACAAAGGGGGTGAAGTGGCGGCGTTGTGCAGTGCACTGAGCCTGGTATGGTACTTCGTCTTGGTCGATTCATAATGGACTCTTCCGCTGATCGATATCTATAAAATAAATAAATAAATAAATAGAAATTTACTACATTAGAGATCAGGATAATAGCTTTTCTTCGAAGAAAAGTGACCGTATTGGGAGAGAGTCGGCCATCCCTACCAGGATACGTAGGTTTTGAAGGGACTTTTCTTCCCGTTGCAGGAGCCATAGATGCGTCGGCCAAGTTCATCACTCAACATGGACCCGTCATCGGTATTCTCCGACAGTACTCCTACCACGGAGTTAATGGTTCCATCCATTCCGCCGCCCAATTCGAAGCCCACAAGAACACTGTCGACGATTGCTCAACAAAGTACTGTAGCGCACTACATGTACCGGTAGCTAGCAATCTGACAAATTTAACGCTCGGAGTCCCAAAATCTGGGAGACCCCACTCCCAAAATCTGGGAGACCCCACTCCCAGATTCTGGGAGTCTATACAGGTAGGCGTGGTAAATATTGGTTTAGAATTCTATTTTATTCCCGCATCTACCTGAATATTCTGTCCTCCAGGAAAATCGATGCCAGCGAATTTCGAATTGTCGGTTGATGAGTCTGCCTGCCATACGCCATACATGTACAGAGGTTCTGTTGAAGGCGTCCTTTGTTGCATTAGTAGTAGTCGCTTGTTGTTGCAGTAGCGATAGAGGCAGTAGTACGCTTGTTCCTTTTGTAGCAGCAGTAGCAGAGGCTTCGCGGAAAGAGGAGGCGTGGAAGAAGACGGAAGCTCTTGTTATCGACCGATCGTCGAACGGCTGCCGCTTCCACTTTCGAGCCTAGCTAGTAGGCAAACAAGAGGAGCCTGTCATGGTGGTGAGTAGTAGCCTTTGTTAAGAGGAGTAGCCGCTGTAGAAGAGATAGCATCATCTTGATAGTGTCAATAGAGTAAAAGTATTAATGGTAGAGGTACGCTGTACCAGTATCGAGTTCGCTGGGTGTCTGTTCTGGGATGACTCCCAGATTTTGGGAGTGGGGTCTCCCAGATCGCCAACCACGAAGTTGGCTAGGTTATAATTTTAGTTTTTTGTCTATCGTCGTAACGTTTTTAGGGTTAAAGGTACCACGAGTCTGAGCCTTCAGAGCTGCCTTTGTAAGGTACCACGGTACTTGTACGGTACCAGGTACTGGTAGGTAGCCACCGTACTAGCTAGCTGCTAGTATGATACCAGTATGATAGCTTCCAGGTTGCTGGTACTAGCATTTCTTCCAGCTATGTCACACAAGTCAAGTTCCATTTCACCGTTTTTTACGGTTCCAGGTCCCGATACTGGTAGCTCTAGCTAGCTTGGTAGGGTACGGTTCCGGGTCCAGGTATGGTATTGTAGTTTAGCAGAGCCATGGTACTTTGACTGGAACTGGGTATTATGATGGAAGTTGGAGAAGATCTGAGAGAGTTTAATGTGGTGAGGTATGGTTCCGGGTCCGGGTACTAGTAGCTTTAGCGTTCGGGGTCTTGGTATTAGTAGCTTTAGCTTGGTACAGTATGGTTCCAGGTCCGGATACTAGTAGCTCTAGCTTGGTAGGGTACGGTTCCGGGTCCAGGTACGGTAGCTTAGAAGAGCCATGGTACTGTGCTTGGAACTGGGTATTATGATGGAAGTTGGAGAAGATCTGAGAGGACGGCTAGGGCTGTCACTAGCTGGGAACTGGGGAGGAGCTAGTTTTGGGAGAACTGCTTGCTAGGGCTATGGTATCATTGGCTGGGAAGGAGCTGGGAGAACTGCCACGGAGCCACATCACTAGCTGGGAGAGTTGCTTAGTAGCTAGCTAATCTTAACTGGCTGAAGTCAGGAAAGCTCTAGCTGGAAGCAATGCTGCTTGCTAGTAGTAAAGCAAGCCCCCATGCCAGTTGGCCAAGCAACTGACAGCCCGCATTTCAATTTCCGTGGTTGGCGCAACCAGAGGCCTCTTGTTTTGTCTCCCAGATTTTGGGAGTGATGACTCCTGTTGAAAAGTAACATGCTCGGGAGTCGAACCCTCAGACCATGTCAGCTACCAAGTGTGAATTTTACCCTTCTAACACCCTCCCAGAATTCTCAGCTTGGGAGCGGCTGTTATCCTATGCACTCATACCATGGAGCTACACTTCACTAGTGAACCCTCCCATGTTCTCTTATCTGTCTCATCAGAGCTGGACTACACTCTACCTGTTGACCACTCATCACACTCCTCAGCAGCAGCTGCACATGACGTCTCCAGGGTCATCCGGATAATGTTACCATGTTGAAAAGTAACATGCTCAGGAGTCGAACCCTCAGACCATGTCAGCTACCAAGTGTGAATTTTACCCTTCTAACAGACTCCCAGATTCTGGGACTCCGAGCGTTAAAAATAACACTGAACTTGCAGCGCGTGACGGTTCTATACAGGAACACGTCTCCTCTGGTTTAGAGGCGAGATGGCACTTAAGGCGAGACTGGCCGGGCGAGAGTGGAAAGGAGAGCCAACGGCTCGTAACACGCGAGACCGGCCAGGCGAGACTTAAGTGACAGCGAGACTCAACCAGCGGAGACGTGTTCCTGTTGGAACCAGTTGAGAAGCCCACCCTAAGTAATCAAAATGTGACGGTTAACATGTCACTCCAGACTTGAGTCGAGTCAAGTCCAGACTTGTCCTTTTTAACTTCAACTTGTGTAGACTTGTACTAGAGGCTACACAACTGCACTAATTTCTTCGAGACGGGTTCCAGTCCCACGGTCTCTGTATTGATGTACATTGTAGTCTACAGGATGACTTCTTTTACCGCTGACAGGTGTCAAAATGTGAGCATTTTTTACGGTTATTTTTCAGTTTTCGGAAATGGGAACTCGGAAGTGGTCATTTCGCCAATCCTGCATTGAACTGACTGGTTCTTACAAAGACAAGATTGAAGAAAAGAAAATGAATTTTATCACCATGGCAACATAGTTGACCAAATGGCCATTAGCTTTACCAATACATTGAGATAGCAAATCCTTTTCTAGAACTAGCTCCCCAACACACTCACAGAGCCACCCCTCAAAAAGGATTTGCTATCTCCAAGGTTTCCTATGGAGCTGCTAGGGAAAATCAGGCTTGGATTCCATTTTGTTGTCTTTCTGACATGGATTTCTCCATGAGGAAGGTGCTCCTGTCCTCACTCTCAGCACTCAATCTGCAATGTAGAGTATGGTAGAGGAGTGGGTGGCTTTGCATAAAGACTGGAGCACCCATCCCAAAGATTCAAAGGAGAATTGTTGGCTTGATGACCACAAATGGAGCACATTTCCTGTTTGTTGTTCGTCAACCAGTCATTACAGTAGTAGAGTAGATGCCGCTTGTTCCTTTTGTAGTAGCACTAGAAGGAGCTTTCCTTGTCGTGCGTCTGCCGGAAGAGTCGAGTCGTCGTCGCTCCGTGCAGAACGAATCGAACCGTCGAACCTCGAACGGAAGAAGCTTGTTGCCAGTACCATTGACGAGGCGTTGCTTGTCGTTCTACGACTGTAGTAGTAGTCGCTTGTTGTTGCATTAGCGGTAGAGGCGTCATCGTTCCGTGGAAGAGGAAGCGTCATGGTCGCTTTGATTGATTGCTCCGTGGAAGAAAGAAGTCGGAAGAAAAAAGTCATCTATCGAACGGAAGCAGTCAACGACCGATCGCTACCAACCAACCAAGAGGAGCCTGTCATGGTGGTGAGAAGTAGCCTTTGTTA